AGAGATATCACTGATGTTTTGTCACGTCCAGAGATATCACTGATGTTTTGTCACGTCCAGAGATATCACTGATGTTTTGTCACATCCAGCAATGCCACAGCCTTTTTTGTCATGTCACGGATATTTTGTCACATCCAAAGATGTCAGAGATATTTTCTAGTGACATGAGACGCCCCAGACGTGCCCCCCCCCCCCCCTAATGACACAATTGATGCATAAATTAACCTCACCTCTTTGCAAGCACTGACTCATCTCTCAACTGATTTATCACAAAATGACTATTTATTCTTCAAATGCCAAAAGTCAGTAACAAAAGGACAAATAACTGGTGAGCCCAATCTGCCTGACAGGCATGTCTGTCAGCACTTAACCTCCTCTAATCGAGTGCCACATACAAGAATAGGCTACTGATAGAAGCGACACACAAGATGAATGAAGCTTGTACAACAGTTATCCTGGAGTAGTCACAGCTTCTATAGAAGCAACACACAAGATGAATGAAGCTTGTACAACAGTTATCCTGGAGTAGTCACAGCTTCTATAGAAGCAACACACAAGATGAATGAAGCTTGTACAACAGTTATCCTGGAGTAGTCACAGCTTCTATAGAAGCAACACACAAGATGAATGAAGCTTGTACAACAGTTATCCTGGAGTAGTCAGTCTATAGAAGCAACACACAAGATGAATGAAGCTTGTACAACAGTTATCCTGGAAGTCACAGCATAGACAACACACAAGATGAATGAAGCTTGTACAACAGTTATCCTGGAGTAGTCACAGCTTCTATAGAAGCAACACACAAGATGAATGAAGCTTGTACAACAGTTATCCTGGAGTAGTCACAGCTTCTATAGAAGCAACACACAAGATGAATGAAGCTTGTACAAAACAGTTAAGATTCCTGGAGTAGTCACAGCTTCTATAGAAGCAACACACAGCTTCTATAGAAGCTTGTAACACACACAGCTTCTATAGAAGCAACACACAAGATGAATGAAGCTTGTACAACAGTTATCCTGGAGTAGTCACAGCTTCTATAGAAGCAACACACAAGATGAATGAAGCTTGTACAAGTTATCCTGGAGTCACAGCTTCTATAGAAGCAACACACAAGAGGAAAGCATGGCAATCATGAAAGCTTGTTTCCTTGTTTATTTAATCTCCCAGGGGATCATAGGCTCTCAGTTAACCAATGGGAAGCCAATTAATTCTTTCATTCCCACAAGCTTTTATTTAGAAAAAAAAATTATTTTTTTTATTTTTATTGAATACTGCCACAAAAATTCTCTTCGTCTGCTGAGTTGTAGGAATGAAAAATGAATGAAAGATACCTCTGCGGTTGCCAGATTTACTTAGTATATACTAAGTAGAATGTTGACTGAACGTGACGATTGTTAAAAATAAACAAAAAATGGACAGATGTTATTCCTTAGGGACCATACGAGTTGTGCCACTTCTTTTGGGAACAGCTTCTGTTATGACCGTAAATTCAAATCAGAGTTTGTTTTTTGTTGTTTTAGTATCCAGAAGCCATGAGGTTTTAACCCTTAGGCTCGGTATTATGGATATCGCAACCTTTCGGCTTTGATTCCATTGTAAATACCGTAAATCTGGGAGAAATGTGGCTTTCCTGCCTACCCCTGGGATTGAACCTGGACCACAAGGAGTTCGTCACCGGGTCTCCGCGCAATCTGGTTTAGCCAACTACGCTAGAGAGCCGGGCAGTCAAATCAGAGAGTTGCAGCCTCTGCTGCATAGAAGCATATCATAATAAGGCTGGTTTTCTCTCTCAGGCGTCTCCTCTCTATAGTTTGCTGCAACTGGCCTCTTACAAACTGCAAAAGATGTCACTGGACATGTCAAAACCTCTGATTTTTTAAAAATGTATGAAATTAGATATGCCAATCAGCTCCTACTGGGTGCGGTCATCATGGATACATACATGGCTGCTGCATTGGGGGACGGAGCACGTATGGGTCAGACCAATGTGCTTGGATGTCAATATGGAGAACAAATAAGTGAACAATGTATGAAATGAGATGCTAATCACACAACACAAACTACACTACAAACACAGAAACCTCAACACAGTAAGATCTCTGGATACAATCAACAGAAGCATGGAGATTAATGTGTAGTTCCAGATTAAGATCAACAGCCATTAAAAAACCCACAGGTGTCGGGGCAAAGGGAGACTAGAATAATGACGAAAACACTGATTTCTACTTTTTCTGCCCATTGGAGCATAGACATTCAACTAAATCATCCTATCCTTTGCTATTGCAAACAGCTCACCCCATCTTGTTAATTTCATTCTCTATCTCCCTTCTTCATGTTTTTTTTTGGGGGGGGGGGGGGGGGGGTTCTGCCTTTATATCTATGTTTCTGTGGGTTCCACAGTGAAGACATTTTAGTTATACTGTTCTCAGGTTCTCTCAGTGTGTGTCCTTTCCAATGGCAGCATCTTTTCTCCACTTATTCATTTACTGGAATTTATTTGGTTCTCTCCTAAAGCTCCACATTAATGACTACCAAACCATTAAATTCTCTCTATTCTACGCAGGCACCAGAAATCACTTACCGAGCATGTAAAACAGGAGGCGACCGTTGTAGATACACATGATATCAATCTTTGTGTGTGTGTGTGTGTGTGAACACATATTTTAACTCAGAAATTTAGCTTGGAAAATGGTCTCTTCTTCTTCTTCGCGTTCACCAGCTGTACATTCTGGCGGAAAGTTCTGGTTGCTCGTCCACTACTGAACTGCAGTCCTGCTCCAGAACCTGAGTGTTGCGTGTGCATCAGTTTTACAGATCTCATTCTCTTGAATACAGACTGTTGGTTCCTTGCCTCTCCGGCAGATGCACTCCGACTTCAAAGGAAGCTCCCCAATTAGTCGACTCTTACGACATGCTTTTGGGGAGGCAGTGGGTCTATTCTTGTTTTCCCCTACAATGGGACCCCGGATCCCACACGGGCTGAAAATGGTCTATTTGATCAACTCTTTTCCAATTCCAATTGCTGGGATTTTAACTGGTAAACAAGGCCCTTCCCTCCAGTTCCATGCTTGGTGACGTGACTTCCTGTACATCAGGTGTGCATCTCGAGTGAGAAGTCTCGCATCAGAAGTCAGCTGGGGTCAGCATATGGACAGCGCTAGCATTTGTGCTGGCTGGCTGAGATGAAGACGACAGTGCAAAACTAGTCAACTGTCAGGCAGGTTGTATATGGCAGCTGTCAAGAGGGTGTGACATGACCTGACATTTCCATCACACAAAACAACTGCATACAGACCACATTCAATGAGCTACCTTGACAGTGTTTTTTCCACCTTTTTACCTGTGCAGACAGGGAAAATATTTTGCTGACAAGTAAGACCTTAAAAATAAATGAATACAGACAGCATTTTATTTATTAGATCCAATTTCAAAATATTCGACTTAAGAGGTTATAAAATCTTATTTACATGGCTTGAGTGTTGTTTCTAAAAGATGAGACTAACACTAACACCTCTTAATAGTAGTAGTAGTAAATTTGACCCCACTAGGACATCACACAAGCAATAAACACCTGATGACACAAAGTGCCCCCATGTGGATGAGGATCATCTGTGGAGAGGTCCCAGAAACCGCGTTCAACCATTAGTCTATATGTATGGCCGGGCTATATTGCGGCACCTGGCAAGAGACCGCAATGGGGCTTCAAAATAACCCAAAAATTTGCATCCCACAAGGGGATAACTGGTCATCAACACCTAATCATGTTTCTGTCTGATAACCATTGCTGCCGCTACACGACTGGGAAGATATTTCTGGCGGTCCACCGGCATATTTTTACAAACTATCATAGGTAGCTTAACATGGCTTTAACACAGGCTTTCTGTAATCTTTCTCACTGAAAAGGCTGCTCCATGTTCTCTCAGCGGTGAATAAATTGTTTTCCATATTAAAAGACAGAAAAACATAATTTAACACTTTTATTAAAATATCTACAAACAGTTAACAGTCTGCCACCTTCATCACAATGTAGAAAGTCAAATGTTAACAACAGTGAGAAAGTTGAACGTTAACATCACAAAGTAAATAGTTACCAAGTACTGTTAACATACAAATGTATAACATTACTGTCTGATGGTAAAATCAGACAGTATAGTGTCATCTTGCAACAGTATGATGAGACCAGTTCCTTCCTTTCCACCTTTCCTTCCCAAATTCCTGCCTATCGTTAACATCAGAAGGAAAAATTCTGCAGTCTGTAGACAGAAACAATGTTACTGTCCGCTGTTAACAGCAGACAGTAAAATTATACAGCCAACTGTTGAAACCGGATGGAAACATTTTACAGTCTGCAGAAAGATTAATGTTACTGATTAGTGATTAGTAAGGATTATCACTACAGCACTTCGAACAGATCCGTAGGTCTCCGATCTATTCCTCAAATGCTCTACAAGTATAAAACGACTACTGCCCATTGTTAACAGCAGGTAGTAAAATGTTACAGCCTACTATTAACAACAGATGGAAATATTTTACAGTCTGCAGACAGAACAATGTTACTGCCCATTGTTAACAGCAGACAGTAAAATGTTACAGCCTACTAATAACACCAGATGGACACGTTTTACAATATGCAGACAGAATAATGTTACTGCCCATTGTTAACTGCAGACAGTAAAATGTTACAGACTGTCAGTAACACCAACTGGAAAATTTTTACAGCCTGTAGACAAACAATGTTACTGCCCATTGTTAACAGCAGACAATGACAGCCTATTGTTAACAGCAGAACAGAGACAGTATAATGTCAATAATTCAGCACCTATTTCATGTAGTGAACACCAACCCTTGGCTAACTCAGATGACACATAGGGACCATGTCAACTGCTCCGACAACAGCTCGCCATGTGACCCCAAGCACAACACAGCTGGAAATATGCAATTACAGCCTTCGAAGGAATAAATAGCCTCAACATGGGGGAGAAGATAACCACTGTAGGTCAGCTAAGTTCGAATCCAGCACCAGATTCAATGGCATAGAGAAGCTTTGACTTCATAGTGTGAGCATCCTGGAAGGCTGGCAGTTTGAGTAGGTTCATACAGGTGCTGGCTGTCGGCAGGCGATCAACCTCTGACCCTGCGCTGTGAATGCAGAATGCTGGAAACAGATCCTGTGAAATGTTTAATAGAAGAAACGTGTTACACAAACGTTACTAAATGGTAAATGGAAGCATTGTGTTACACAAAATGTTACTAAATAATAAATGGAAGATATATATTATACAAACATTACTAAATGGTAAATGGAAGGAATGTGTGACACAAACATTACTAAATGATAAATGACAGATATATATTACACAAATGTTACTAAAAGGTAACTAGAAGATATACATTACACACATGTTACTAAAAGGTAACTGGAAGATTTATATTATACAAACGTTACTAAATGGTAAATGGAATTTGTGTGTTACAAAAATGATAAATAGAAGATATATACTGCACAAAAGTTACTAACTAGTAAACAGAAGATACAAATATTACTGTTAAACAGAAATCACCAGGTTAACAAAGCCTATCACAGTAGAGAGGACAGTCACAACAAGTTAACACTATCACAACAATATGAACACAGACAACAGGAAATCTGTGTGTGTTCCAGTGTTTTATTGTGGGGGGAGAGGGGTTGAACAGACCCACTGCGCCACTAACAAGCATGTCAACTACTGGTTGACAGGATAAAAATAGAAAGAACCATATTGAAAACATCAGGAATAAGGCATTGAGGCGGTTACAGTTAGTGAAGAGACTTGCAGGTTCAGCTTGGGGATCAGATTAGGAAACTCTGAGAGGTTTGTACCTTGGATGTGTTCGCTCTGTGATAGAGTACAACTCCTCACTGCTTACAACCTGCTCCTAAACTAACCTAGAGACTCTTGAAAGAGTACAAAATAATGCCCTCCGATTAATCAGCGGAGCTATGCGGTCTAGTCCAACTGCTGCATGTGAAATCCATACAAATGTGTCGTTTTGCAGGGAGAAAAAGCCACTTCAGAACTTTATGAAAGATGCATTCTAATTAATCGTAACCATCGAAATAGACACTGTGTAGAAAACTGGGAATATAAACAAAGAATAAAGCACAAATCGGTTTTACACTGTGTTAATGAAATTCAGGACAGGTACCACCTCCCAGAAAGACGTCAAGGAATTCAGAATGTTGCAAGAAACCGACCACCACATGCTCGCTTTAAAGCTCCAGAAGTCTGAACAAAATTGGTAGATGAAGAAACTAAACAGTCTGACCCAATCGCCTTTATGAACTCATTGCTAAAGACCATTGATTCTTACCCCCAAGAATGGATACATGTTTATACTGATGGATCTGCATTCAAAGGTACCATTAAAGCAGGTTATGGAATCTAATAGGTTATCCTGATGGATCTGTTAAAAAGATTTTTGATGCATGCAGGGAATTCTGTTCAAATTATGAAGCAAAAATAACTGCACTGGAAACAGCAGTATACTATCTAAAGACTGTAATGGATGTTTACCCTTAAACCCAAAATATTGTCATCTTCACCGATTCAATGACTGCTCTTCAAGCTCTGGCAGTGAACGCTTCAGAACTGACATAGCCAAGTTTATTCTGGATGCTGATCATATCATTACCCCATACAACATAAGAATAGTGGTGCAATGGATTCCAGGCCTCAGGCACACCAGGTAATGACAGAGCCAACAGGCTGGCAAAGAAAGGAGCAACACAAGAACAACCACCTACAGCGACAACCCTCCAGACAGCAAAAACACTGATAAGAGCTATAAACAAAGAGACTTGGTTGAACAGATGGGCCATGGGAGACACTGGAAGAGAGGTTTATAGACATATGGCTGGCCCTGATCCTAATGACAGCATTAACTATCTAACAAGAAGGGACCAGGCCACCATCTTCAGACTTAGAACGCAACATACTCCACTCAGTGGACATCTAAACAGAATACAGACACAACACTCCCCAAGTGCCAGCTATGTAACTACCCCTAGGAAACTGTTGACCACCATCTATTTGAGTGTCCAAAACTCAGACTAGAAGAATGCTACTTCCTCCGAGACCAGACAAGAGAACACCTTGTACGGAGGAAAAGAACAGCGCATGAAAACATGCTAATTCCACTACATGGCTTTGCGCCAGAGGGTGAAAGCTCATGCACCGCTGGATCGATAACAACAAGAACTTTTGTCTGATTCCAAAATTTGTGTTTTGTGTGCACATCCATTTTACAGATCTGGCTTATCTGTAAGCAGCCTGTTGGTTCCTCGCCTCTCAAACAGATATACTCTTCCGACTTTGAAGGAAATACCCCCAATTAGCAGATTTGTATGCATGTTTGTTATGGAGACAGCGAGTTGTCCTTTTCTTCCCCAACACGGGGCAAGAGAACCCACACAAGGATTTGCCATTATTTCTTTCTTTCTTTCTTTCTTTCTTTCTTTCTTTTTTTTTTCAGAAGATGAAGCTAAAAAAATTAGGCAATGCTCAAATTAACCTTGAAGCCCAACAGCGGAGGCCTGGAGCAGCTGGTGACAAACTTGAGGAGCTGCCGCTTCTGTTGGTCTGTGAACTCGTTGACCACTGTCCAGAATGTTTCTATCACAGGATGGGTATCACTGTATTCACCTGCAAGATTTCAGCACAATGTCAGTATATTATCTGTGGGGTTACATCTCACACAGCTGCACACATGCACAGGCTTACAGCATCCCAAACATGTCCGTACACATCCACGGTTTTATAGTCTATAATATATCTGTAAACATACACAGGTCTATCAACATATCTGCATATATATATATATATATATATATATATATATATATATATATATATATATATATATATATATATATATATATATATATATATATAAAAGAGGTTTACAACATACTACACGACTATACACATGCACAGGCTTACAACATACTACACGACTATACACATGCACAGGCTTACAACATACTACATGACTATACACATGCACAGGCTTACAACATACCACAAATGTCTGTACACATCCACAGTTTTATAATTTATAACATATCTGTAAACATATACAGGTTTATCAACATGTCTGTACACATAAAGAGGTTTACAACATACTACACGAATATACACATGCACAGGCTTACAACATACCACAAATGTATGTACACATCCATGGTTTTATAATTTATAACATATCTGTAAACATACACAGGTTTATCAACATGTCTGTACACATAAAGAGGTTTACAACATACCACACATGTCTGTACACATCTAGTGAGTTACATACCACACACATCTGTACACATCCACAAAGTTACATACTGCAAACATCTGTACACATCTATATGATGTTATACCACACGTCTCTAGACACATTCACAGGGTTACATTCTGCAAACATCTGTGCAGTGCACATCTATATGATGTTATACCACACACATCTGTACACATTCACAGGGTTATATGCTGCAAACATCTGCATACATCTATGGGATGTTATACCACACACATCTGTAACCACACACATTTGTACACATCCACAGGGTTACATACTGTAAGCATATTTTTACATCTATGGGATCTTTTACCACACGTCTCCACACCCATCCACAGGGTTACATACTGCAAACATCTGTTCACATCTATGGGATGTTATACCACCTACATCTCCACACCCATCCACAGGGTTACATATTGCAAACATCTGTACACATCTATGAGATATTTTGCCACATGTCTCTACCCACATTCACAGGTTTAAGCATACTATCTAAAAATTACAGGCAGGGAATATGACAAGAAGAAGAAGACAACAACCATGAATGCCTCATACACCCTATGGGGAAACAAGTTCAACCGCACACTGACCTGAATATTTGGTGTTCTGCCTCAGATCCAGAAGATCAATAGGGACAGAGGCCCCAGAGATGAGGACTTGCAGCTCTCCGCTGTTGAACATCTGCAGCCACTCCAGCTGTATCACATCATTCATTCCCCGTCTAAATGCGTTGCAGTGCGGGCGGATCTGGGGGCAGAGGCAACACTCTAAGTTACACTGTGACATGATGACCTGAATATGAGGTGACTGCGGTTAAGCTGATGACACATATACGTCTCATCCACTTCCGCCGCTGGGTTATTTAAGTCACATTTTGTGATGCATTTAGTTACACTGTACTCTAGGTGTTTGGTCCAGTACCCCGTTGGGGGGGGGGGGGGGGGGGGGGGGGGGGGGGGGGTTAGAAGTGTGCCAAAAAGCAAATAATTCGGATTTAGATGAAATCTGGCATGTTCAGCCAAAAATATTTATATATTGCAGCCTAGCTGTAAGCCGCAATAAAATGTGTCAACTGCACTTTTGAGGACAAACAGACAAATCTTATGAGCCGTCACAACACATTCCTGTTCCTTCTTCTAACAACATGTCCCGAAACAATGTAAGACGGTCTCCTTCTGATGTTAGTGATAAGTTGCCTTCGAGTCCTCACTCCTCAAAATATCTGGGTTGCTCTTTTTGGTTGTCCAAGGAATTCTAAGGCTACTTCTGTAATATCACATCTCCGAGGCCTCAAGAAATTGTTTGGCTTCATTATTAACTGTCTAGGGTTTACAGACAAATGTGGAACCTGGTTCATAACGCAGCAGGCAAAATCCTTTTTCTAACCTCCTGTGACATGGTTTTATTGAATAAAATGTTCTTCATTTTCTTTTTCTTCACGTTCACCAGCTGTAAACTCCGCTGAAAAGTTCTGGTTGTTCATCCCCCTCTGGACTTGAGACTTGTTCCAGAACCTGAGTGTTACATGTACATCTGTTTTCAGGTCTGACTTATCTGTATGCAGACTGCTGGTTCCTAGCCTCTCAGGCAGATTCACTTTGATTTAGAAGGAAACCCTGAATTAGTTGACCCTTACGACATGATTGTTGAAGAAGCAGTGGGTCTATTCTTGTTTTCCTCACAATAGGGCCCCGGAACCCAAACAGGGAGTTCTTCATTTGATCAAATGCAGTTTTAGCCTGTCCTATTATCTTCTTTATCTCTATGATACGTCTTCCGTCGGATGTTATCCATGTACCTAGATAATTAAATTTATGTACTTGTCCTACAATAATGTTAGTATACACTCAGGCACTATTCTTTTCTATGAATTCTTCTGTCTTTCTATTACTCAAGCTGAGTCCCATATCATCAATTCATGCTCTGAAATTTCTCAAATGGTTGTTAATTCTTACAGCTGCTGTTTGCTGCCAAAACATGTTCTTTAATATTAGTAGATTAGTTCCATCCATCAGTGTTGAACTTTTCTAGTGTATTATTATTTTCGCATGTTTCACACAGCCAAATGCTTTCGTACTACTAAAGAAGCATAATTACAGATTGGTTTTGACTTCTATAGCTCTTTCCGACAGTGTTCTGAGGATATGTATGGCACTGTTTGTACCTTTTTCTTCTATAAATCCCCATTGTTCTTCACAAACTTCTGGTTTAACCGTGTTTCTAATTCTTCTCATAATTATTCACAGTAACATCGTTGTTAAATGACTCAATAAGACTTACTGTGTGAAGGTCTTCACATTTTAAAGCGCCTGCTTTTTTTTTTTTTTTTTGCAGAGCAAAAAATTTAGATTTTAACAGATCATTAGGAATATACTGAATATTATAAATTTGCTGTAGTCTACATTTGTACAAATACTTACAAGTCTTTCTGACATGCACTTTGAATGTAATATGTCTAATGTAATATGCTTACTGTAAGGGTAAATGTAATGGTATAAAAAAAAATGTAGTTATATCACTGTTCATACCAATGTTCGAAATAAGGACTAGGTAAAACATAAACATAGTACTGGATACAAAATAGCACAGGATAAAACAGTTAGAAATATAGCACTAGGTAAAAGTTAAATAAAGCACTGGGCAAAATGGTTACAAATACAGCACTTTGCAAAACGGTTACAAATACAGCACTTGGCAAAACGGTTACAAATACAGCACTTGGCAAAACGGTTATAAATACAGCATTTGGCAAAATGGTTACAAATACAGCACTGGGCAAAACGGTTACAAATACAGCACTTGGCAAAACGGTTACAAATACAGCACTGGGTAAAACGGAAACATGGCCCTGTGTGGAACAGTGAGAATATGCAACTGTCTACAAAACTGTGGAATTTGTGTTACCAACCTGCTTGTTTATCCTATAGTCAGCCATCAGGTGGATGTATTCAATTTTGTTTGCATGAGTAACTTGTATGTTACGACCTCCTGGCTTCAGCTCTTCAACCTACATTAGGAGAGTAAGTTAGAAATGTTTATTTCTGGGGAGATAATAAAATGATATCTTCCTCTTTGCATTTACTGACTGTAAACTCCAGCGGAAAGTTCTGGTTGTTCTTCCACTTCTGTCTTGTCCAAAAACCTGAGTGTTGCGTGCATATCTATTTTACAGATTTGGCTTTGTATGCAGACTGTTGGTTCCTTGGGTCTCAAGCAGATGCACTCCGACTTACCACATACTTGTTGGGGAGGCAGTAGGCCTATTCCTGTCTTCCCCACAATGGGGTCCTGGAACCCACACAGGGAAGATAAACAATAATATAAACTGTGGACTCTGGAATCATATTTTTAGTCTCAATTCCCTTCTGGGCACTGGGTTGCAGTCTCTTGACATACATAAAACCTGTGAAGGCAACATGATCTGGTTCTACTCTCAGTCTATCTGTATGTGCCACGATTAATTATTACATGATGTACATCCCTATATACAACTTCAAAATTGTGAAACTGCATTACCAGTTTTGAATATACCACCAGTTCCTGAGCTTCAATGTAGGGAAATAGCTCATCATCCTCTACATCAGGTACCGTGCTGGTTAAGGATCATGGATAAGCTCAGTGTTCTTGTCTCGCTCAATCTATGCTGCCAGGCCATTCAGGAATTTCTCTCTCTGTCTTCGCCTTGCTCGACTTTCATCAATCTTGCCAGCTATTACCACGTTCTCAAGTCCATTTTTTCCTTATAACATGTCAAAAAAATTAACACTGATGTCTACGTCTAACTGTTTTAATAAGTTTACAATTGATTAGTCTCTATGAGGACTTTTGATTCCTCCTGGAAATAGATACACAAATGTTGTGAGGCTAAGGCTACAAAATACCAACAGATCAGACTCAGTAAGTTTCTCAGTCATCCTAGGTCTGAGATTTGAACAACAGATCAACATCATGGCACATGGATAGTAACCCATAAATGCTATGTTCTTCTTCTAACTCAAGTCTTGAGTCTAAAGTAATTCAGCACAGTGCACAGGCTCTGTAGCACCGGTGAGGATCCTGAAATACTTTGGGTAGATTTTTAACTCAAAATTTTGCCAAGGTGGCGCCATTAGGCTACTCTTTTCGACTTCCAACTGTCAAGGGATTTTTTTTTTACGTGCGCAACAATGCATACGAGTGTCTGATCTCACTACCCAGAGACCAGGAGGAATTACTAGATGTCCAAGACCACTTTAAAAAAATCCCAACCCTTATCAGGGATTGAACCTGGAACCTCTAGCACTCGAGGCGGACACCATGCCTCGAGACAACGCAGCCCCCTCAGTCATCCAACTGATTCACAAATATCACCAGTGACGTTTTGTCGGGACATCATCACCGCCACCATTGTCATAAACATGAAGAAAATAAAATAGATACAGGAAAAACAAAATAAAAGCGCATCAGCACAAGAAGGCCCTACCTTAGTGTCTCCAAACTCACTGTTGACCACAGTAAAGTCCAGCCCAAGATCTGAGACGTCTCCATCGTAGTGCTTCAGGAAAAGCAGGTTTCTAATGAACAACAGACAATGCAAGAAAAAAAAATTAAAGCTCGAATTTACTTCGACTCACATCTTATATAGCTTGTCACACAGACTTTGACTCACACTTTATATTGCTTGTCAGACAGACTTCAACTCACATCTTATATAGCTTGTCATCCAGACTTCGGCACACATTTTATATAGCTTGTCACACAGACTTTGACTCACACTTTATATTGCTTGTCAGACAGACTTCGACTCACATCTTATATAGCTTGTCACACAGACTTTGACTCACACTTTATATTGCTTGTCAGACAGACTTCGACTCACATCTTATATAGCTTGTCACACAGACTTTGACTCACACTTTATATTGCTTGTCAGACAGACTTCAACTCACATCTTATATAGCTTGTCACACAGACTTTGACTCACACTTTATATTGCTTATCAGACAGACTTCAACTCACATCTTATATAGCTTGTCATACGGACTTCAACACACATTTTATATAGCTTCTCATACAGACTTTGACTCATACTTTATATAGCTTCTCATACAGACATAGCTTGTCATACTTAGCTGTCTTGTTCGGCTGTAAGCTCTGGCGAAAAGTCCTGGTTGTTCATCCATTTGGACTTTGTGCCAGGGCCTGTGATTTGTGTTTACATCCATTTTACTAGCTTATTTGTGTGCAGTTGGCTGTTCCTTGCCTCTTGGGCAGATGCACTCCAACTTCAAAGACAGCCCCCAATTAGTCGACTCCTATGATATGCGTGTTGGGGAGGCAGTGGGTCTTTTCTTGTTTACACCACAATGAGGCCCCAAAACCCACACAGGGATAATTTTGTTAAACAGACCTGCTCTATGCCAGGACGCAAAACATATTTTCTCCTCTCATGTGACATGGAGACAAACACAAGGACCAACTCTTGTTTTCTCTCTGACTGGCTGACAATAAGCTGTGATCCTGCTGGCACAAACTTACTTATATATGAGAGGATCCAATGACTGCAGATGGTGGATATCCAAATTGGCATTGCTGGGGCTGAGAATCTTTGACAGAAAGAACGACGCAAACGGAATCTCAACCAACAAGTTCTCCATGAGTGCCTGCAAGAGACAAACACATCTTTCTAGGTAAGCATCTTGTCACTAAGCACATGAAATAAAACAGAAGAAAAAGTCCAGTGAGTATTGATCTTATTTGCACATCCAGCATTTCTGGGTTTAAATCTACATTAAGGCAGGATTTTTTTGTCTAGGCTCATGTTCAGTCTAATTAAATGGTCCCTAGAGAACATTCTGGGAGGTTTAGCAACTACTCACTTACTGGCCACCCCTCCAATCCAGTATAGCCTGGTCCAGAAAACAAAGTCTATCATCTTCCTGAGAGATAGAAATTAACCTAGTGAATTGTGACTAAAAAGCTAATGAAATGGGAAGCAAAAAAACTTGCACAAAACACATACTGATTTTTGGCCGGGGCCTTTCTCAACCTGAACTAAAACTACACAACAATGACAAAGGGGAGAGTACTCCAACCACCAGAGCCTAGCAGGAGGTCACATGAGAAACTATAAAAAGTTGATTTTGAATGAATAAAATAAAATAAAAGAAGGCTAGAAAAATAGTCATAAAAGTCAGAGGGATAATATAATAATAGTAGGAATACAAGAGTAGTAGAAATACAAATGCTAATGATCCATAATTGGTACAGATAAGAGATAGAATAAAATAATAATTTGAAGATAAAATAAAATGAACATTAAAAAAAATATTGTGACAATAGTAAAACTGTTCAGATGAAAATATGTTGAGCATTGATACCTCCTGGGTTTGAGAGGAAGAGTAGTGTTTTGTCTTTACGCAAATGTTAGTAAAAATCTCAACTTGATAAGAATATAACTGGTATGTCATTACACTGGAACCCACAAGACCAAAGAAAGGGAGACCTAAAAAAAGTGTGATGAGAAGAGAATGAAAGACTAAGATGGATATGATGGTTGAAATAGGGTGAGCTGTATGGGACGTCACAGGATGAGTTGGCCTTGATGAATTTATGTTCTACATGGGGAATGAAAGCTGAAGGAGTAGAGAGCCAGCATAACACTATACAACTGTCAAGACTCTCAGAAGATATTTGTATCTCTGTAAAGAAAACAAGCTAAACCTACCTTCCCCAGCATCCGGCCCAGGAAGTAATAATGGGACGTAAAGTTGTCTACTATCAATCCCGCTTCTGGGTTCGGGTACAAAGTTCGATCTGCCGTGTATTTAAAGAAGCCTCGATTTGGATCGAAGCCAGTCTTCAGGAGCTCAGATAGAAATTCTCGGAAGATGCCACCTCCATCAATTCCAGCTTCATCTAATCCTGCAGCATTCAGCAGACTCACTCTCATCTTCTTCTTCAAATTTGGCTCTAAGGAAAAAAATAAAATCATGTTATCAAACAGCCGAAACTTCTTCTTCATAGTGTTCATTAGCTGTAAACAGGCAGAAGGTTCTGGTTGTTTGTCCACGTCTCAATTTCGGTCTTGTTCCAGAACTTCATTTGTGTGCGCACATTAGTTTTACAGATCTGGCTTATTTGTATGCAGACTATTGGTTCCTCATCCTCGGACAGAGGTACCCCGACTAGAAAGGAAACTGCAATAATAATATTCCAGTTTGCGGGAGTCGGGGGCAAGACTTGCACACTACACAGCTCAATAGATCTACATAGCCCTGTGTCGTCACGCTTGATAGGAGTTGCCGGAAGCAGAATCCTTCTGCTGTCAACTCCGAGCTCTGCGCGCTTATCAGTGACAAGTCAGATGAGACAGATGTGCTGGTCTTCATAAACGGATCAGTTATAAGAGGACATAAGCGTGCATGGGCATTTACAGCTCGCTTTTCAGGCAGAACAGTTCAAGAAGCCAGTGGTGCCTTCTCCATGACTACCAGCAGCATGACAATGGAGGTGATGGCGGTGACATAAGCTTTCATGTGGCTAGAATCACAGGACTATTGTCACATGTGTGTGCTGACTGATTCTTTGAGCATGATACGGCGAGTCGAGGCAGGATGGTTAAGCAGACAGTAGATTGAGTCATTTCAAAACTCTCCTGTGTATGCAGTTACCTTCATGTTTGTCCCAGGGCATACAGGTGTTGTTGGTAATGAAAGAGCGGATAGACTGGCAAGTGCCGCATTAATTAAAGATGGCCGGCCCATGGATCACACAGACATTGTCAATGCTCTTAGAGAGAGAGGACATTCCGAGGATTTTGGAAGCAACATGTCCGCATCACTGCTAATACGAAATTTTGAGTAACTATCGGCACAGTCAAGTATGAAAAGCACACAGGATGCATACAAAGTCTAGTCAACCAGCACAGTACTGGCACTACTAACCACGTGACGCTGATAAATATGTTGAGGGAGGAATTTGAGCACCTCTAACTAATAACTCAAAATTAAACACTACAATTTCAGAAGGTCCATGTCATCCAAAAGAAATCCGAAGACAAACGATGAATAGAGAGGCCAAAGGTGCTGGACCGCATTCCATCCATGATACTGAAACAGTTACAAGGGACAGAAAGGAATAGAAAAACAAACAGCAAGCACTATGACCGAGCCCTATAAAGGCACAGCAAGGTGATGACGATGATGAATGTGACCAAAATAACGAGCCCACACATGAAACAGAATCTGTAACGGTACCAACCATTTTCTGGAGACAGTTTCTCAAAAGCATCTTCATAAATGAAATTTCTGCGTATGTTGATGGAGATGAATGGCCCAATGCCAAAGTTGGTCAAGTCTCCTTGATGCTCTTGTTTGTCAACGATAATCAAATTCTGGAGGATCTGTGGCAGAGATCAAGAAATATGCATCAGCACAAGTTTCAAACACACACTGATGTCTGGTTTCATCACATCACTTTATCCATCCCTGTCAGCCTGGACAGACAAAGTGGTCAGCTTCTATTGTATCAGCACAAGTTTCACACACACACACTGATGTCTGGTTTCACCACATCACTTTAACCATCCCTATCAGCCTGGACAGACAAAGTGGTCAGCTTCTATTGCATCAGCACAAGTTTCACACACACACACACACTGATGTCTGGTTTCATCACATCACCTTGACCATCCCTGTCAGCCTGGACAAAGTGGTCGGCTTCTATCTTCTGCTTCTTCCTACTTCTAGAAAGCCTAGCGGCATCAGGGCAGAATTAGATCTCTGGAACAGGCCTTTCTGGTCGCTTCGTATAAAGCAGTGTCTCTGATAGTTCTGCAGTCTATTTACTGTGTGGTCGATCTTCGGCTCTGTTACCATGTATCTGCATAACACTGCTCTCCGTGGTGCCCTGTCTGATGCCAATCTTGTTACAGCTTCTATCAAATGTTATAATTGCAATGATTAACTGTTCTTCTTTTGATACCTGCTTTGTACACCGTCAGATCAAATCTTATGATTCAAAATACACTATTTTTGCAGTTCCTTTTTAGTCCAAAAAAGCTCTGGGCATGGTGTTAACCCATTATACTAGTATTCCCTTCGTAATGGGTTGTTCAAAGCCCAGATCTGTAGGGCATGTTCATCGGTCTGCATGCAGAGCCCACATGAGCATAGAGATGAACTAAACCAACAAAGTCTGCTCAAATGTTTGTTAACAGCGTACTGCAGGGCTATTCAACTGGCAGCCTGTGGGCCAAATGTGGCGAAGGCCTAGCAAGTGGCCCAGGGAATACTGCAACATATACTGTATTAATGATCTTTTAATGCTGGGCCTCGGCCTCTCCATTTTCTACAATTTGGCCCATGAGTAAACCAACCATAGTCTCAGTTCTATTGAGCAAACATCTGTATGTATCCTAATCTCACAGAAATATACTGACATAAATCTTGTGCCAAGATCTGTCTAGTAAACTGACAAAACTGACAAAACAAATACACATCAATACCCTACCTTGACCCTGTCAAAGAAAGAGACGACGAATGGCAGTTCCGTCAAAATGACCAGATTTCTCACATCACGGTTTGCCAGGGGAGGAGAATCTGTGTCTGTCAGAAATAATAAATAGAAACTGGTTTGTTGCGCGCCACAAAAACGCTGAAAACAGCAAATTCTTCTTTTTCTCTTCCACCTTGTACCTCAGCGAAGTGTGTGCGTGCGTGGGGGGGGGGGGGGGGGATGTAACATACGTTGATGAGCTCTGTCAAGAGCACTATTAAGACTGATGTTCATTTTTGTAAGCCTGTTCTTAATGCCATCACTCCATATTTTCTGAGGTATTCCACTCGCTCTATACCCGTTGTAACGTTTTAGTGTGGCTCGCTGTGGCAGATAGTGCCAGGGCATTTGTTAGGTGTCCAAACCACTTCATTTGTTGTTGTTTGATGACCTGTAAGACTGGCTTAATTCCTAGCTTTGGTCTGATTTTGTATTCTGTCTTTCCTTGAAACTCCTGCAGCTTTTCTAAGGCATTTCTCTCTGCTGTCACAATTTTACATTCATTGGAGAATGTAAGCAAATAAGGTTCACAAGTTACAGTTGACAGCTGCTCCAGGTTATCCTACGACTCAGTCCCTCTGCAGAATGGCTGACTGCGTGCTGGGTGTGTCGCACAAAGCAGCAATCTCTACACACCCCAGCTATCATTAAAACTGCACTCATTCATGACCTTTAGAGCGTTAGGCAAACTGCCTGATCAATTCACCACGACGACCCCCTGCAACAGTTTGATGAAACAATGTTATCGCAACTCAAATAATGACACATAAAAAAAAGTAGTAAAGTAAAGGACCCTTTTCCACGCCTTTAACCCTTTCGCTGCTACGTTCCCGGAAATAGTTGTCCTCCTGTGCTAAGCAATGTGAAAAAAAAGTCTCTGCTGTGCGCAATACTTTTCTATCCTCTAAACGCAAAAGATGTGTCCGCGGTGAGGGCTATGTTTTGTACACCTAAAAAAATTTTTTACCCTGGGGAGTTGTGTGGTTGGTCCGAGTGGTGACAAACGGAGCTATCACCCTTCGGGGGGGGGGGGGGGGGGGGGGGGGGGGGGGGGGGGGGGGGGGGGTCATTACTCTCTTGTGCTCTCCGCAACCCCGATGTGCCGCGTGCGCTAGCCTACCCCCCCCCTTATCTTCTCCTATTTGTCGTATGCCTGCAGCGCAGTCTAGGGGGGGGGGATTGGGAGGAACTGTTCCCAGTCTGTATCCCAAAATTTGATTGATGAACCTACCACGGCTGCCACTTTAATCATATTTACTTATAGTCACCATGTTATTACATACCAAAATAATTAAAAAAATAATCATAATAATACTCAAGTTGTCCGTTGCTGAAAAGTAGCAGGAACTCAAAGGAAAATTTACAATTAATTAAAAAAAAAAAAAAAAACTTCGGGGGTTGAACACACGACCCTCTGATTCTAAGGCGAACGTGATACCAATTACACTATGCAACCGCTTGACGCATTGCGCTGTGTAAATGATCATAATGAATGATGTGCGCAGACTATCAATAATGTGTCTAAGTTTGTAGTCTATCGCCGCCTGCATGAGCACTGTTGTCTAAGAAATGTTTGAGATTCTCAACAATAGTAAAAATATGTCCCTCGACATTATTTTACGGGAGTTTTTAGCAAACAGTCTTTGCTCAAGTACTCTATTTTGAGTTTCTTTGTTATAAGCAGTAGCAGACAGACAGAAAAAAAAATTAGTTCGTCCGAATCTGTGTCTGTCCATCGGGAAAGACGAGAAATTTTAGTGACTTAACTGTTTGAATTTACAGTAGCAGAAATACAGATAGAGCTGGAGTCATCAAAATCATGCACTACTGGTTTCAAATCATCGGTTCATCAAGATAACTGATCAATTTATTGCCGTTTTGGTGGCGCTTCATTGTCGCTGCTCTCTGATTCCGACGATGAGGACGTCGGACAGGCAAACAGCTTTTTTGGACACGCCGGTTTCAGCAGTCGATACTGATGGCCTAGTCAAATCTTCTTGTTCACTGTCAGAAGTACACATTTCAAAGTCATCGTCGCTATCACTTTTGACAGAAACTCCATCAATTCTTCATCAACTTTAACCAGTTTTCTTGCCATTTTGTACTAAGTGTAAAATAATCCAAAAGCACAAATATATATCAGGGCACAAAATACACAGATCACCGACCACGCTGTCCCGGGAAACAAAGCAACGGGATAACGCAAAATGCAGTAAACACACCTTATACACACCTAAAAGTACGTGCCAGTGCTTTTAATCATATGTAAATGGGTCAGTTTTATCTAAATATAGCTAATGTATATTGCCCTTCAGCCAATAAAATACGAGGTAACAGAAATCTGTAAGAAAAGTCCAAAAACGGCTTAGGACGTCCATAGCACTGGGGGTCAAGAAAAAGAGTATAGAGCTAGACCTATATTTTTATAGACCATGAGCACAAGATGGGTGATGTGGTCAGCATCACGCCGGCCGCCTTTACCTTCCCGGGACTGCACCCGGTACCTACTTAAGGCTGGTTCGACCTGGGAGCCAAAGTCATTTTTGAAAAAAGTCCGGCTCCGCCAGGTAGCAAACCCGCGACCTTCCGATCCACGACGACTCCCAATGATACATAACTCTATTTTATTTATTTTAGTTTCTTTTAATGTCTCCAGAATGCAGGTTGGCTGTTGTGGAAAAGTGCATCCCCTGCTATCTTTGACAATATTTTATGATCAGGTTCAAATCTCTTCCATAGTGTAACTCTCGTATTCACTGTCCTAAAGCCACAAAAATTAAAAATTTTCAAAGCCCCCGTTGCTCAAATAAAACCCTGGTGTGTCCTTTCTGACACTAACATGACTGCGTGACATGGGAGTAGAGCGTGGTGAAGCACATATATGCCGCCTTCAAGACCGAGATAGGAAACACTATAACCAACTTCTCATGGGGACAATTAGTAGAAGTACCTTGGAGTGGCTGCTGCAACCGAGGACTGAGCATGCATGGGTATGCCCAATGTGCAATGACGTCGACTGTGATAAGACCTCTCAGCTGGGAGGAAATGGTCCCTACTGTGAAACCACAGCTGGAGGCCGCCATGGTGCAGAGACTAGATGCTCGCCTGCAGACTGGAAGATCGTGGGTTCAGGTCCTAATGGTACCGACTGACTGACTGACTTTCTACCCCACCAGGACATCACACAAGCGATAAACACCCGATGACACAAAGTGCCACCATGCGGATGAGGATCACCGCGGAGAGGTCCCAGAAACCGCGTTCAGACAATTGGCCATATTGATGGCCTGCCTATATTGCGGCCCCTGGCAAAAGCCAGAGTGGGGCTTCAAATAACAAAAAATTACGTCCTAAGAAGGCATACCTTTTTTTTTTAATGACCTTGGCTCCCAGATCAATCCAGCCTTGAATGGGGACCAGGAGGAGTCCTGGGAAGTAAAGGCTATCAGCGTGGTGCTGACTACATTACCCACCAAGTCTATATAAAATATAGGTCTACCCCTCTATGCCCAATACGCCCAAAGGCATGGAAAGGGTGCTTTAATTTAACTACAGCTCCCACTTTTTGTAGTTACTGTTGGTAACCGAATAGAGATTTTATCAAAGAAACAAAATTCTAAATAAAACACAGATTGTGAAATACTGTCATAAGCCAGCTACATAAAACTAATTAAAAATGTGCTGCTTACCACTCAACTGTTAGAGCTGTAGCTGGTCTGGCAACTTTCAATCATTACCCTCTGCTGTGCTTAACCAATTACTACTAACTATGAAACATCTTTCAATCACTACCCCTTCCTGTGTTTACCACAGACGTAAGAAGCCACGACATACATACAGATCAACAACTACACAGAAAGCTACGTATCCAGGATGAAGACAAAAGCTACAAATGGCCAAACAAGCTCTTACCCATATTAGCCTTTGTGAGAGCACTTAGAGTCCCAAAATCTCTCCTGGCGAAAATAGCATTCTGTGCTGAGTAGATCTGTGATGGCTGGAAAAACACGACACATTTTACTTAAGTAAATTCCCAAAAAAATATATTTAGCATTGCTAGATTTTAAACAAAAACTCATTTTACATGAACAGTAAAAACTAAATGACATTTTACATGAATTGTTTGAAAACAAAATGACATTTTACCTAAACTGTTTGAAAACTAAATGACATTTTACCTGAACTGTTTGAAAACTAAATGACATTTCACATAAATAGTTTGAAAACTAAATGACATTTTGCATAAATAGTTTGAAAACTAAATGACATTTTACATGAACAGTTTAAAAACTAAATGACATTTTATCTGAACTGTTTGAAAACTAAATGACATTTTAAATGAATAGCTTGAAAACTAAATGACATTTTACATGAAGTTTGAAAACTAAATGACATTTTACATGCTAGATTTTAAACAAAGACACAAAAAAATAAGACATAAATAAATCCTAAATAATCTAGGAAGGAAAATAAAACCACAATACTGCGATTGAAGTTCAAAAGCAAATTTAAATACTATAGGTACATAAAATGCCATAGAAAAGTACAAGCAAAGGACTTGTTTCTTCATACTTCTTTGTTCTAATGTTGACATAGAAACCCCATCCGTTTTAATGTTGACTTAAACACCCTGTTCGTTCTAATGTTGACTTAAACACCCTGTTCGTTCTAATGTTGACTTAAACACCCTGTCCGTTCTAATGTTGACTTAAACACCCTGTTCGTTCTAATGTTGACTTAAACGCCCTGTTCGTTCTAATGTTGACTTAAACACCCTGTTCGTTCTAATGTTGACTTAAACACCCTGTTCGTTCTAATGTTGACTTAAACACCCTGTTCGTTCTAATGTTGACTTAGACACCCCATCTGTTCTAATGTTAAATAGATACTTTTTCTAATTTTGGCTCAGAATAGACAGGAAAAGACTCAAATCTCCACCTCACATCACACACTACTAGCTACTCTAACCCTGTCTGTTCTAATACTGACTCAGAAAAGTCTCAAATCTCCACCTCAAATCACACACTACTAGCTACTCTAACCCTGTCTGTTCTAATACTGACTCAGAAAAGTCTCAAATCTCCACCTCAAATCACACACTACTAGCTACTCTGCCCTGTCTGTTCTAATGTGGAGTCAGAAAAGACTCAAATCCCCATCCCACACTAATAGCTACTCTGCCCTGTCTGTTCTAATGTGGAGTCAAAAAAGACTCAAATCCCCATCCCACACTAATAGCTACTCTGCCCTGTCTGTTCTAATGTGGAGTCAAAAAAGACTCAAATCCCCATCCCACACTAATAGCTACTCTGCTCTGTCTGTTCTAATACTTAATCAGAAAAGACTCAAAACTCCACCTCATATCACACACTACTAGTTACTCACCCTGTCTGTTCTAATGTTGACATGTGACGACAGCCAGTGACCAGGAGGACAAAACGGTCTGCGACTGTCTCGGCTGTGGAGCTGTCTGACTAATGTTGATGTGACCTGTATCCCCCCAAAACAAATAACCAAAAAAATATGTGAGCTGCGGTACCTGCTTGCCTCTGACAAGATCCAACAATACGTAAATAAAAGTAAAGTCCCTTTACGTACCGATGATGCACTGGGCATATGAGTCTAGACATACTTTTAAAGACCAATCGGTCCTCAGTGCGTGATGTGGCCAACACCATGCCAGTCACCTTTACTTCCCAGAACTTGACCTGGTACCCATTTAAGGCTGGGTCAACCTGAAAGCCAAGGTCATGTAAGGAAACCAGGCTCCATAAAGACCTGAGCCCACGACCTTTGGATCCGCAGGCGAGCATCTAGCCACTACACCACAGCAGCTATTCAACAATTTAACATAGGATAAAAGATTGTAACATCTGTGTGTCTGGCAACATAGGATAAAAGATTGTAACATCTGTGTGTCTGGCAACATAGGATAAAAGATTGTAACATCTGTGTGTCTGGCAACATAGGATAAAAGATTGTAACATCTGTGTGTCTGGCAACATAGGATAAAAGATTGTAACATCTGTGTGTCTGGCAACATACGATAAAAGATTGTAACATCTGTGTGTCTGGCAATATTTCAAAATGTATATTTCAATGTCTGATGAGGTACAAGAAGGTAATGTGTCTGTCTGTTCTAATACTGAATCGGAGAGACTCAAAAACTCCACCTCACATCACACACTACTAGCTACTCACGCTACATATGTAAATGTCTGATGAGGTACAAGAAGGTAATGTGTCAATGTATGATGAGGTACAAGAAGGTAATGTGTCAATGTATGATGAGGTCCAAGAAGGTAATGTGTCAATATATGATGAGGTGTAAGAAGGTAATGTGTCAATGAATGATGAGGTATGAGAAGGTAATGTGTCAATGTATGATGAGGTGCAAGAAGGTAATGTGTCAATGTATGATGAGGTATGAGAAGGTAATGTGTCAATGTATGATGAGGTAAAAGAAGGTAATGTGTCAATGTATGATGAGGTATGAGAAGGTAATGTGTCAATGTATGATGAGGTACAAGAAGGTAATGTGTCAATGTCTGATGAGGTATGAAAAGTAATGTGTCAATGTATGATGAGGTACAAGAAGGTAATGTGTCAATGTATGATAAGGTGCAAGAAGGTAATGTGTCAATGTCTGATAAGGTGCAAGAAGGTAATGTGTCAATGTCTGATGAGGTATGAGAAGGTAATGTGTCAATGTCTGATGAGGTATGAGAAGGTAATATGTCAATGTCTGATGAGGTACAAGAAGGTAATGTGTCAATGTCTGATGAGGTACAAGAAGGTAATGTGTCAATGTATGATGAGGTGCAAGAAGGTAATGTGTCAATGTCTGATGAGGTATGAGAAGGTAATGTGTCAATGTCTGATGAGGTATGAGAAGGTAATGTGTCAATGTCTGATGAGGTATTAGAAGGTAATGTGTCAATGTCTGATGAGGTATGAGAAGGTAATGTGTCAATGTATGATGAGGTACGAGAAGGTAATGTGTCAATGTCTGATGAGGTATGAGAAGGTAATGTGTCAATGTCTGATGAGGTACGAGAAGGTAATGTGTCAATGTCTGATGAGGTACGAGAAGGTAATGTGTCAATGTCTGATGAGGTACAAGAAGGTAATGAGTCAATGTCTGATGAGGTACAAGAAGGTAATGAGTCAATGTCTGATGAGGTACAAGAAGGTAATGTGTCAATGTCAGATATAATGCAAGAATGTAATGTGTCTATGTATGATGAGGTGCATGAAGGTAATGTGTCAATGTTTGATGAGGTACAAGAAGGTAATGTGTCAATATAATGCAAGAATGTAATGTGTCTATTTCTAAGAAAACCCAACAATCTAACATGCCTAAATGTGACAAGCAGCCAGAGAAGATCTAAGAATGTAAAATAACTCTCTGAATGGATGACGAACAAAGTTTATTTTTAAAGAGTTAAGAACCGGGCAGGCAGGCTTAACTTACACTCTGCCCTTTCGGCCTACATCTCCAAAACAGCAACAATATTCAGTTTAGTAAGTGCAACCAACAATTTAAGAGTAAAACACAATATCTCAGAAAATCCAAGAACATAATCTAAGAAAAAACAAGGAAGCGACTGCCTCACCTTGAACAAATAAGCCCACTGTTTGGTGTGTTCTGGGCTGTCCTCACTACTGCTGGTGTTGCCCAGAGCTCCCGTCTTCTTCAGGGCCTGCACAAAAATTTCCCAACATTCAACAATAGCAATCAACACTGTCGTTACCGTAATTTTTCCGTGTATAAGACGATTTATATTTTTCTAAATGTTTAAAAAATTTAACAAGGGGGTCGTCTTGCATATGAAATGTGTTTAAAATATTTATTTCCTGATTATGGGCTACAAAAATTCAAGGTAGTCTTATACAAATCTACACTTATTCAACAAGTGGTAGACAAGAGGATGATAGTGGGTTGTGCGTGCTAGTGCTTTCATCGATACACCTCCACGACCCAAGTGGGTCAAGGGATATGTTATGTTATATATTGGGGCCTGGCCGAGCGGTTACAATGTCCGGCTCTCATGCAGAAGATCCGAGTTCGACACCCAGTAAATTGATGGAGTTTTTTTGTCGGGAGAAAAATTAAATATCACAATCTGCACAGTCCGTGGAAACAGCACTAGCCAGGTGGCCCTAAATCCTCAGGCTCAAGGTCCCTTCCTGTCTACACCGCCCTAAAAAGTGCTAAAACAGACAGTAGTTACACTTTATATATGGGGATATATTACACACAGAAAAGCATGGCAGTTACTTATTTGTAGTCACAGGCCTCTGCACATTAACTACAATATTCTGTGATACCTAGAACATAAATGTATTACAACTTGCTGCCCCTTCCATTCCTTGGCCCATGTGATGATTTAAGGTAAAGGAAATTAGGCAGCAGAAGCAACATTTCATCATTATTATCATCGTTGGACTGAAAACGAGTTTCATTAAAAGCTGTCAGTATGTCACTCCACTGTCATCTACCCTTAGCCATTCTCTTCAGTCCGACACAGTGTTCCCCTTGTGGGTCCCAGGGCCCAATTTGAGGAGCACACAAAAAAAAGCATGTCATAAAAGGCGACTAATAAAAGTTTGCTGTAAGAAGATGAATTGGGCCTAAAGGTGGAGATGTTGCAGCCTACTTGTAAACCACAATACAATGTGTCAATCTGAACTTTTAAGGGCAAATATAAAACAAGAAAAAGAATAAGACGTTAAGTCAGAATTCTGTGATGTCCTTGTATTTTCAATGACTTTTTTTTTTCTGTCTCCCTGGAACATTAATAGAATCTAGAGTTTCATTTTACCTTTTCTGTCTCAGAAAGAGAGTGACCTCCCTTGCCATTCATGCCTCATCAGGTCACAGGATCTCTCCTATGTTGCGAGTGTGTCAGGTTTTCCTCATTGTCAATGCTTTAACTGTTCCCTCTTTTCTCATCTTCTCACCGCTCGCTCGCGTGACTTTCTTCCTGTTCTGCTACTTACGCGACGGTTCAGGAGATATTTTTCTACTCCTAAGTTCCCTTTAAGTGCTTTCTTTCTCTCGGGGGTAAGCAACACCTGCGGCGCTTCCCAATGCAGAACTTAGTACTTGTACCCAAGCATCTGCGGCACCTGAAATAGACTCATGACAACACAACCTCCCACAAACGTTAAATACGCCGAGCGAACACCAAACCAAGCCATATCATAACACCCCCGCAACATAGAAGAGGTCCTGCGACCAGACGAGTATGAATAGCAAGGTAAGACTCTCTTCTGGAGAACATAAAATGAACTTCCCTAGACACTCATTTCCCAGTTAAGAATGGGAATTTAGGCGCCAGACAAAGGTTTCATGTCCATCAAGGTTCCAGAAAAAGAAACATTTGTTTGACATTATTCCAATCTCTTTACTAGCTGTAAATTCTAGCAGAAAGTCTGGTTGCTCGTCCACTTCTGGACTTCAGTCATATTCCAGAAACTGAATTTTAGGTGCACATCTATTTCATAGATCTGACCTTGTATGCAGACTTTTAATTCCTCACCTCTGGCAGATGTGCTCCAACTTCAGAGGAAAATTCCCTAATTAGTCACTTTTTTACAACATGCTTGTTAGGGAAGCATTAGGTATATTCTCCCCCCTCCCCAACCACCAAATGGGGGCCTGAACAAGCTATTCACTTGACACGCACTCTAAAGGTCATGAGCTCATTTAGGAACTGTCATTTGGTGTATGAATGCAATTTTTTTATGGAGCTTCATGTGATCACTGCTGGAGCTACAAAGTTTGTTTGACAGATAGCCATTCTGTGGAAATTGAGTCGTATGGGATAAAACCTAGTGCAATGAAGTCGTCCTCTCAATCATAAACATGAGCGAAAGAAAACATGATGAAAGTACAACTGTTACCTCTCTGTAATCGTTACTGATAGCAACACGAGAGTCCGGGTGAGCCAGCTCTATAATCCCAAGGCAAGTATCCCTCAAGCTCTGGCACATGAGCACCACTTCATCCAGTGAGAAAGGCATGCTAGAGCCAGATACTGAAATGTCCAGAAAACAACCACATTATGTGTGTGTGTGTGTGTTTTTTTTTTCTTCTAAATAAAACACACACTAAATAACTATAGTTGTTTCTCAATAGTTTTTATTGTTGGTTAAAGTTAGTTGGGTATCCTTTACAAGTTGTTGCAGAACCAACCCCAGCCTTTTCTGGCTGTTGTGGTTTTTCTAGGCAAATTTACATCCAGTAGTTTGCCACTGCTTTCTGGATGGTCAGCTTCTCAATACCACTGTCGAAACCAACGCAAGGCCCGCAGCGGGGATCGAACCCAGCACCTTGGCATTACCAAGCGCCACTTATTGTTGGTACCAGTTTCAAATCTGTAAGCTGCCAGTGGATACATAAGTGTGGCCTAGAGTCTTGTCGACATATTAATGTTTACACTTCTGGGGCAGCAATTTCAGCTTCTCTTTAAAGCCCCAACTATAATATAATCTACAGTTTAACAGGGGTTCTGAGAGTTATGCATGGAGGGGGTATTACAATCTGAATGGTGGCACTTTGTGTCACCAGGTGTTAAGTCGCTCGCCGTGCGGTCTTGGGGGAGGGGGGTTGAAAGTTAGTCACTCAGTTTCTCATTAAAAGTTATGCCACTGCAATTCTTAAACCCGTGTTGCAATGTGCATCTTCCATTATCCTTTAACCTAAATCCAAACACTTGTTCAATATTTTTTGTAGGTGTTTGTATGAATAATATTTTTTATCTGGGCTACTGTGCAAGCATAGATATTTAAAAATACAAGTGTTTTTCTGGCCTTTTAGTAACACCCTACCAGGTAAGTGCTGCCACTAACTGCCAAGAGAATACAGAAATGTGTATGGTCAGCTGTCCAATGTTTATGGGAGTCTTCAGAACAAATAGGGAAAAGATAAAGGTCATCCCATAGCAACAAATGCTGCTTATATGTAGAGCAGAAAAGTGCAAACTTTCATACATTCTAAACCACAACACACAAGGTGAGGGTGGCTAGCTTTCTTTCTCATCACTTTTTCCCTGGAGCAAACAATTCTTAACACTGTATGGTACAGATTTTTTCTTCTTCTTTTTTTAGCGTTCACTGGCTGTAAACTCCAGCAGAAAGTTCTGGTTTTTCTTCGAATCCTAGACTTCGGACTTGATCCAAGAGTTGAGTTTGCATGTACATCCATTTTATAGATCTTATTTATTTTATGCAGACTGCTGGTTCCTTGCCCCTCAGGCAGATGCACTCCGACTTCTTAGAAAACACCCCTAATTAGTTGCCTTCTATGACGTGCTAGGTAGGGGGGCATTGGGTCTATTCTCTGTTCTCCAAAATGGAACCTTGGAACTCACATGCGGATGGTAGGCATTTGACTGACCCCAGGGGCACAAGTGGGAAAAAAATAACCCTGCCTTTACTATAGACTGAGCAAGGATGACCACTGCTTTTGGCAAGCAACTGTCCTAACTACCTCTGCTACCACGACTCAATGCAAATATATACCTTTCTCTGTTGACAGAACAAGCCTTGCTCACAGATGAGGCTAGTGGCCTCACAAACAACATGCTATTGGTCTCACTCAGGCGGCAGAGAAAAACAGAACCATACAAACAGGACAACATATAATAAGTGACCCTATCAAACAAAAAGGACAACATACAACAAGTGACCTCACAATACAAACAGGACAACATACAACAAGTGACCTCACAATACAAACAGGACAACATACAACAAGTGACCTCACAATACAAACAGGACAACATACAACAAGTGACCTCACAATACAAACAGGACAACATACAACAAATGACCTCACAATACAAACAGGACAACATACAACAAGTGACCTCACAATACAAACAGGACAACATACAACAAGTGACCTCACAATACAAACAGGACAACATACAACAAGTGACCTCACAATACAAACAGGACAACATACAACAAGTGACCTCACAATACAAACAGGACAACATACAACAAGTGACCTCACAATACAAACAGGACAACATACAACAAGTGACCTCACAATACAAACAGGACAACATACAACAAGTGACCTCACAATACAAACAGGACAACATACAACAAGTGACCTCACAATACAAACAGGACAACATACAACAAATGACCTCACAATACAAACAGGACAACATACAACAAGTGACCTCACAATACAAACAGGACAACATACAACAAGTGACCTCACAATACAAACAGGACAACATACAACAAGTGACCTCACAATACAAACAGGACAACATACAACAAGTGACCTCACAATACAAACAGGACAACATACAACAAATGACCTCACAATACAAACAGGACAACATACAACAAGTGACCTCACAATACAAACAGGACAACATACAACAAATAACCCTACCATCAGAGTCTCCATAGAAGTCACCATCATGTAGAGTCAGCAATGAGTGGTTGAACAGACAACAAAATGTGGTCAACAATGGAACAATTCGCTCAATGTTGTCCCTGGACATCGGCACTCCATTGGCCAGCATGTTCAGAAGTGGGGTACTCGATCTGACAATCAAATCAACACAATCAAAGTTCATTAGATAAAGATAACAATTAAAAAGTGCTGTAATTCTATAAACACCACACCCACAACGGGTCTAAAAATGAATGAAACACACACAAAATGACAAGGATGCTCAACAGGGCAAAGAAAAAGACGTGCACAGATACAACTTTAAGTTTCCACCAGCTGTTATCAATGATGAAAACAACATTTAAAGCATGAGACCAATCCTCCTTGTTTTGGCTCCTTGATCCCAATTTTGGTGCAACAAGACCCCCCCCCCCCCCCCCCCCCCTCCAGCATGTGGTAAAAGGCGACTAATTATTGGTTTGGGGAAATCACATTGTTGGGACAAAAGGCTCAGATTTCGCAGTCTTGCTGTAAACCACAAAACCAGGTCGTTCTAAGGTTGAACACAGAAGATCAAGAAGGAGTTATCTAATACCTTCAGTTCCATGCTGAGCTTTGCAGAGCTATCTAGTTACAGATTCTGTTGTATTTAATCACTTCAGGATATCAGCTCACCTATAGTTACTTGTATTTAGACTAAAATGGCAGAAAAAGTCAAATGAAGCCCAGAGAGAAAGCGACAAACATAGCAAATACTGCTCAAACTTGGCCTAACAGAACAACAGGACAGACATCTAACAGAACAATACAACAGGCCTCTAATAGAACAATAGAAAAAGCATCTGCTGAACAATATAACAAGCATCTAACAGAACAATACAACAGGCCTCTAATAGAACAATAGAAAAAGCATCTGCTGAACAATATAACAAGCATCTAACAGAACAATACAACAGGCCTCTAATAGAACAATAGAAAAAGCATCTGCAGAACAATATAACAAGCATCTAACACAACAATACAACAGGCCTCTAATAGAACAATAGAAAAAGCATCTGCAGAACAATATAACAAGCATCTAACAGAACAATACAACAGGCCTCTAATAGAACAATAGAAAAAGCATCTGCAGAACAATATAACAAGCATCTAACAGAACAATACAAAGACATTTAATGAAACAATACAACAGATATCTGACAGAACAACACAACAGACAAGAAGAAGGGAAGACAACCAGACTCACCCTGTGACAGCTGACACAGACACTGTACAACACATCTCCCATAAGTTTCTCATGAATGGAGGGTTGAAAGCCAGCACATACAGCAACCTGCACACAAACAAAAACCAGAGTTTGCACTAAATCATCATCCTTTAAGTCCAACTTGAGTCCCAAGTCAATGTACTATGTCAAGTCCCAAGTCACCAATAATGCTTCCAAGTCGAGTCCCGAGTTTCACCTCATGTATCAAGTCATTTGCAAGGGTGCATGGGAGATTAAACCAGTTGGCCTGTTATAACACCAAAGCAACTACTTGACCACAAGTAGTCTGACTATGGAGGTCATGACAGTCACCAAAGCAATAACATGGCTGGAGACACAGACCTTTTCCCACGCATACTTTCTCGGTGACTCAATGAGTATGCTCAGGAAGATAAAGAAGGGCTGGTTCTGAAGACTGGTTGGAGTTTCTAGAGCGGTCAAGTTTTACACATATCAGTTTTATACTTCTGCAAGGACACAAAGGTGTGCAAAGAAATGAGCAAGCTGATCAGCTTACAGGTAAAGCAATGGACCGTGCTGATAGTCTGAATGCTCTACGAGAAGTAAAACACTTGTGAGAACAAAGTGAAGATTGTGAATCTGCCACCATGATCAGACTGCAAGAACAAGATGTTAAGAGGGGCGTGGCCAGGCTAGAGCACTATGCAAGAAGCCAAAGAAGAAATCAACACAGAGCTGGTGTCATTAGCTGCTACATGCTGCAAGATTTACTGAGGGGATCTAAGCACTTATGGACTGAATGGCTTGATGTGCAATGAGGATAATCTGATGATTAACTAGCTAACTAACACCAAAACAACAGCCAACGATTGTCAGATGTTGATGTTGTATGTAAACAGCTGAAATGAATGCATATAACTGCATACTGAAGTTATTCTTTAAAAAAAAAAAATTATCTGATACAATTTTTTTGGCATGTTCAAAAAGTATCCTACATGAGAAATAAACATGAAATCGTGTTCATCCCATGAAAGAGTTTGTAAATCTCTGGAGAGCTATCCTATTTTATAGACGGGTTCTTTATCTCCACACGGCCTCAACAGTATACAACATCTTCCTCAATGAAGTACCTACCTTGTCTCCTGGTGTAGGAGATACCATTCCACAACTTACAATCTTCATGTATTAGCCTGTGTGCGGACACCCATCCATAACATGACAAAAGACTGCCAAGAGTCTTCTCACATTGTCTTCCTCCATCTTACAACATGGTTTCATCTCAAATACATACACTGTTACCATAGCAACTTCCCACAGCTGTAACTTCTCGACCTTTCACCTATCCTATCTGTGCAACTTCACCTATTTTGTCTATCCATGACAAAAGTGTGTTAACCGCTCCCTTATGTCCATGAGGTGTACATGGATGAATAATTTGACCAAGAGTGGACTTCAGTCTTAAAACAACTAGGTCATTTTATATAGATGCATCACTGTCTGTCTACCTTGCTGTATGCTGCCCAAGTCTCTCTAGCCACAACATTTATTTTTGTCATTCAACATTGGGGAGGGGGAATCGGAAAAGAGGTGGGGGAGGGGAGAGCTGACTTGTTATATTTGTTGGTCTGGCTGATTCTTGAAAGTATCAGACAGACAGGCACCATCGGAGTTGGAACCCTGCGCTTGCTTCTGAAGATGGGGATGTGGCACTAACAGGAATGTCTCGAGCGCTACGATGTCGGTTATTTACTCACAAGACAAACAAACAACCCAACAAACACTTCACATAAGAAGAGACTGGACAACTCACCTGATTTTGTGCATGGCCATTTTCTGATGGACCAGTAAACAGTAGGCTATGGAGACGAGCGACTCAATGTAGTCTGACGCTGGCAGGTTCATCAAGCAGTTGTAGATACACTTGAGATGTGCTTCAGAGTCAATCAGTCGCAGACACTCCAGCCGCACACTTTTCAGACTCATGAAACCGGTCTCCTGTGAAAGAGTTGTACAGATAAATGGCTGCCTGAACCTGACACTACAGACCAGCCTTGTACATGGCTGTAGGAGAATAGTGGTTAGTACATCTGCCGGGAGTAGCTGTGGTTTAGTGGCTGGACGCCTGCTTGCGAATCCGAAAGTCATGAGTTCGAGTCCTGAACTTAAATGGGCATTAAGACTGGCGTGATGCTGAACACATCAACCTCCTAGTGCCAACTGGTCTATAAAATATAATTCTTACCCTAAATGCCCAACATGCCTAAAGGTGTTGAAAAGGGTCAATTACTACAGGCAAAGCCAGTGGTGTATGAGGCATATAGTAAACAAGTCAAAGATTCTTTTCCACGCCTTCAGGTGTATTAGGTTTATAGGGCGAGACCTATATTTATATAGACCACTCGGCACTAGGTGGTTGATGTGTTCAGCATTATGCCAGCTGCCTTTACTTCCCAGGACTGCGCCTGGTACCCACTCAAGGCTAGGCTGACCTAGCAGCTTAAGGCGCATTTTTGAAAACAGTCCGGCTATGTCAGGACCCGAACCCACCCCCTTCCAATTCGCAGCCGAGCATCAAGCCACTAAACCATGGCAGCTCCAATTGGGCATATAGTGCTAGACCTTTATAGCATGGGAAATGTGATGTCATCAGCGTCATGCTGGCTGCCTTTACTTCCCTGGTAATCACTTTAGGCTGGGTCAAATTGGAAGCCAAGGTCATTTTTGTGTGTGAAAAATAATTGCTATAATGTGGATTCAAACCCAAGACATCCGGGTCAGCAGGTGACCATAAAAAACTGCATTACTGCAGCTGCCAGGAAACACACTGATTAGTGAAATAAGGTGTAAACAGTCAAAGTGTTTGAGCACATTATCAGAAATCCCCTGTGTTGGTTCCAGGGCCCTATTATAGGGAAAACAAGAATAGACCCACTAGGCTACCCAAAAGCTTGTTGTAAGAGTCGAGAAATTTAGAGCTTCCTTCGAAGTCGGAGTGCATCTGCCTGAAAGGCAAGGAACCAACAGTCTACACTCAAATGAGTCAGATCTGTCAAACGGATGCACACGCAACACTCAGGTTCTAGAACAGGACTGCAGTCCAGAAGTGGACGAACAACCAGAATTTTCCACCAGAGTTTACAGCTGGTGAACGCAAATAATAATAATAAGAAGAAGATTATCAGAAATACAGCTAAACAATTTACACCTACTTGTCTTCTTCTTAGCATTCACTGGCTGTAAACTCTGGCGGAGTTGATCACACATTTCTGGACTCTGATTCAGAATTCGAGTTTAGTGTGCAAATCCGTTTTACAGATCTAGGTTATCTGTATGCAGACTGTTGTTTCCTTGCCTCTCAGTCAGATGAACTCTGGCTTTGAAGTTAACACTTCTAATTGGGTGACGTGTATGACATGCTTGCAAGGGAGGCAGTGGGTTTATTCTGCCCCCCCCCCCCCCCCCCCCCGAATGGGGACCCTGAAACCCACACTGGGATATTTTGTAACAACTGGCAAACTTGACATGTAAACAAAAAGAGCCAAAGGAAGACAGATAAGTTCCTGGATGACTTGATCATATCATAAATGCATTTTTAAAAAAAAAGAAGGAGACCTGATTCAAGTGTGGTGACTCACTGCGATGACTACCCATGATCCCCGGACACTTACTGGCATGGCACATAATGACGATGATGACTATATACTCACATGAACTTCTTCCATTTCCTCCTCAGAGTCAGAAATGTCTCCAGAAACAAGAGGAGAGTACCCAACAGATGGCAGTTGTTGCAACAATCGTTGTAGTAGTTTCAAGTACATTGCACATGTAGATGCATTCAAGTTTCCTGTGGAGCAAGTACAGACACATCAAGTAGATCTATCAGAGCACATTTTTCATGAGAAGTTTTTTTGTGTGAACTACTTCTTCCTTCTTCCTCACGTTCACCAGCTCTTAACTCTGGAAGAAAGTTCTGGTTGTTCTTCCACTTCTGTACTTAAGTAGTTTTGTTCCAGAACTGAGCTTTCATATCTTCTTAATTATTGAAACATTCACTTCCCAGTTTGAAGATTTTGCATCAGTTCCCCAGAAGTATCGCTGAACCACATGGTTATCCCGAATGTACACCCAGAGTTAAAATAAGTTGTGTCTAGACATCTTCTCCTTAGCTTCACTGGCTGTCAACTCTGTTGGAAAGTCCTGGTTGTTCATCCACTTCTAGACCTCAGTCTTGTTCCAGAATTAGAGTTTTTCATAGACATCTGTTTTAGAGATCTTACATACTTGACTAAGGCCTCTCAGGCAGACGCATTCTAAATTCAAAGTAAAGACCTTTAATTAGTCGTATTTAACGACATGCTTGTGAGGAAAGAGTATGGGTCTCTTCTCTCCCCCTCAAAATGGGGCTGTATGACCCACAAGGGGATTGTCTGGACAACATTCCATAAATTTTCCAGGTGTTTTTATCAAGTTGTATAAGAATGCAATCCCCCCTGCAGCACATCTATATACCTCCCAGAAATGTTTCCATATCTATTAAATAAGACTGGATGGACTCTGCAGAAATTTACAAAAACTCAGGAGACTTGAGCCTAGGACCACAGAGGCAGCAGAAAAGTGTAATGGCCACGGTAGCACTACCACAGCCCTTCAGTTACATAACCACCGGAAAAACATAGAGGTACAGGCAGATGACTGCTAATGAAATCTTCTCTTCTCCGATTCTGTTCTGCCTTTCAGCATCAGGTCTTAAAGAGGTATTTGGTGCAGGCCTTGGTGTGCACTACCTAGATGTTGGCCTCATATATTCCATCCATCCATCGTTTGTGTGGTCGACCTCTATGACTCATATATTCCATCTATCCATCGTTTGCGTGGTCAACCTCTAGATCTACTTCCATACTGTCTAAGTGACAGGGTTCTTTGTGCTGCACTATCGAGTGGTAGTACTGACACATGTCCAAACCATTTGATCTGTTGTCTCTTAATGTAGTTTGGTACTGGTTTGGTCCCAACTTCCTTCCTGACATCGTCATTTCTGATCTTGTCTCTTCTAGTTACATTTTCAATTCGTGGTAGACATTTCATTTCTGTTGTTTTGATCTTCTATTTTTTGCTAATGTAATCACAACGGCGAAAAGGAGGACTATTTCTTCTGAAAATTATAGCTCACTTACCTAATTCTTTGTTTGCCAGGGTCAAGACAGATGCCAGAAGCCACGGAGTATCCTCAAACCCAGAACTGCTAACATCTACAGTGTTGTTATGAAACAATGCAGATGCTGATGATGATGCCATTTCTACGTCTGTTGATGAATGTTTACTCGTGACTGTTGTCCCTTGGATCAAGGACTGAATGAGCTCCACAAACGGGAAGGGGTATTTCCCGTAGGCCATCGCAGGCAGCAGAAACAGGGCAATCTGCTCAGAGTACTGCTCACACAGAAATGAACTGGTCACCTTCCTCAGAATATCCTGCCTGGGGTGTGATACAACAAGTTACCAGTGAAACGTCACTGAATCAACTCAGTAACAAGAGCATACATTCAGTCTTTCAATGAAAAAAGAAAAAATGATATTCACTAACACTACAGGGTCACCTCGAGCGTAGGTCAAATTTATAGTTTCATTCAAAATGGTTAAAACAAATGTACGCGAAATACAACAATTCAATCTGTGTAGGTATAAATATTGTATACCAAGAGAGATGGACTGGAATGATGGCATGGAGGGATATCATCAAGACAGCCGTTCTAGGCAACCAGGGATCGTGATCTGTGGAGACACATGAGCACCTACACCAGTTGGCAGAGCACATGATGATGATGATGATGATAATGAAGTGCAGATAGCTGTTAAGTGGCATAGGTCATAAGTCAAGGAGAAGGTGTAACTGGTTGATATCACTTAATGACAGGCCACAGATAACATGGAGCTGCTGTAGCTCAGTGGCTAGGCAACTGCATGTTGGCCCAAATGTATTCGGTTCAAATCAGGTCAGCTCCTATGCTGACCCTGCCTAAAAATGGACACCAGGAAATGTCATGGGAAGTAAAGGAGGCTGGCATGATGTCAACCACTTCACCTATCTAGTGGTGAATGGTCTATAAAAGTGTGGATCAAGCTAGGTACGTCTAAGGTATAAACATTGTGGTTCACTTTCACAAAGATAAAATTGCTGCTGATTATAAACTGGCTGATATAATTTAAAGTAAGGCTGAAGATGACAGGGAGCCCCATGGTGTAGTGGCTAGGCACTTGCCTGCAGATCTGAAGGTCCAGGGTCCAGGTCCTGACAGAGCCAGACTTGTTTTTTTTCTAAACTGAAAAATTACCGTGGCTCACAGGTCGAAGTAGCCTTAAATAGTTAGCTGGTAAAGTCCTGGGAAGTAAAGCTTTCTCCCCCTACTCAACAGCCAGCAAAGACTTTCAATACTGAAGGTACCCATTGTCATTTGATTAACCATCCTTCTGGTCCTCCCCTCAAGTTCTGAGTAGCTCCCAGAGCCCAAAACAACTCCCCACTGCTATATTCTCTCCAGGTACGGGCTTTCAAAATCTCCTATTTTTTTTTATGTTACCCTGTCCCACTATCAAGAGATCACCTGGTGCATTTACAGGAAACCCTCAAGTGGGGCCAACCTAGATATATACACACATACACATTTATATATATTTTTAAATATATACACACACACACACATTCACACAACCTACACAACAGAACAGCAACAATAACACAAACCTGAACAGTTTATCTGACATGGAGACGGCAAAACTGACAGGGCTCATGATCAGATCAAAGATGGACTCAGCAACTGGGGTGGGTGGTACTGCCGACTCCTCCAGGCTAGGAGGCACTCGGCTGCTTAACAACTTACGCAGGCACCTAAAGTAACCTGAAACACAATCAACATCATCATCCTGCCAGCTGTTACAAGTAATCATCCTACTCCGTAACTTACATATTCTCACATAAACACTATCATTCCGACACATCAGGTATAGATGAAACTCTCACTTTCATCCAATTCTACTTCTGCACCAAATCTGCTCCAAGATGTTGAACTCTTCATCTAAATTATTTACTCATGTGTCAAATGATTGTTTGAAACTAATTCTTAGTTGTTTTTTTTTTAAATTTTTGAAGGCAGGGTCTACAATCATTTCCTCTTCCTAGCACAAACTCTAAGCAGATAAGACCATTCTTCTTCTTCTTCTTTCGTTCGCCTGAAATAAGTTATCTATATCAGCAGTTTTGTCTCTTGTATAAATTTCACTGTCGTTGTTAGTTCATTCAGTGGACCATAGAGTTTACGTTCCACTGTTGTTCTTTCTGACCAAAAGGTTTGCCTTAATGTGTCAAAATCGGTGCAGTCCTGGAGTACATGCTCTGCGGTCTGGGGCACATTTCCACAGGTGCACAAGATAAGACCATATGTTGCATGCGCATCCTGATCCCTCATTTGGGCTGCCTTGTTATTTCCAAAAGAAAGGTAACACCAGTGTTTGAAACAGAGAATGCTGCAGAAGCTGCCGAATCAGAAGAGCAGTGCTCTATCTGTGCAAGCTCTGTCTGTGCATCTGTCTGGTCTTCCCTCCAAACGGCTGGGCATGAGTTGGTTGAGGACCTATGATACACTAGCAGAAGAAGGGGACGAAGAGAGCAAAATAGCTGCTAACCCTTTAAACCATGTACAAAAATCCTATTTAAAAAAGGTGGTTGAAGACTTATGCTACACTAGCAGAAGAAGGGGACAAAGAGAGCAAAATAGCTGTTAACCTTTGAACCATGTACAGAAATCCTTTTTAAAAGTATCTCTTCACACATAGAATATTATTTCAAATGTTGTTTTTACATTTGTTTACCATTCAGACAAGGTTAAAGTTCAAGTCAAGAAGATCCCATATGGTTCAGTTTATCACTGCAAATTGGTTAATGCACCTGGAGAGAGCATCGTAAAAATCACAAACTCTGTAGCTCTGATAACAATCCCCAGGGATCTCCGTAAAAATTGCACCCATGACGCGAACTATACAGCCATGAAATGAACATAAAATGTTTAGAGTGTGCAACAAGCTACCACTTTACCAATGAGACGCCCCGTCATTCAGCACAGTAATATTATTATTATAAAAACTAACCACCCCCCAAAATGTTTCTCTGTGCTGACGTGAGTTCCTTCCAGTAGAAGGTAATAAATGAAAATGAAAAGCCAGAAGAAATGCACAGACAAGAATACTCACCAGCATTGACAAGGCTCCGCAGCAGGCGAGAGAGCAGCTTGTGTGTGTCCATGCCCTGGCCTGGGTGGACACTGCTGTAGGTAGATGGCGACAAGAAGATCTCCAACATCCTCATTGGTATTGCAATTGGTGCATTTGAATCAGCTATACTATTTAAATACCTGCAGATGTCAGAATCGCATAACAATTTACCACTGAAACTGAATTATACCTGCAACATCTCCGCCCCTCCTCCCCTCCGTTTCCCACCCCAAAGTTATGATTGTTAACCCCCTTTTCCCACCCCAAAGTTATGATTGTTAACAATCTAGTTGGCACACACAATGCATAAATACATATTCTAAACATGAATATACATAAATAATAACACTTTCTGTCTACAAAAAAGAAAATATGATGACTGTATCATCTTTCAGAGCTCTGTGAAGAAACTACCCACCAAAAAACGGATTGACTTTACTAAACTGTTCTCTAAAATTCCCTCCAGTTTCCAATCTCCATAAGTATGTGAAATCCAACCATTTAATAATACTAACACAGCAAGTTAATCTTTGGGACTAGAAACATCTCTCAACAAACCAGCATGTGAACTGACCTCACAACCACACTTAAGAGGCTGCTCATCTGGAGGTAGATGGACTTGGGCTGCAAGCTGTTTAGGTAATCATCTTTTTGTTTGATCACACACTGACACAGGGATATCTGTAAACAAATACATAAATAACACATTCACACAGGGACATCTGCCCACAAATACAAAAATAACACATTCACACAGAGATATCTGTCCTCATATAACAGAAAGCACATTCACATAAGGAAATCTGCCCACAAATACAAAGATAACACATTGTCACACAGAGATAATTGCCCACAAATACAGAAATCACACACTGATACATGGATACGTGACAACAAATACATAATGGGATATCTGCCCAAAAATACAGAATTAACACATTTACGCAGGAATATCAACAAATACAGAAATCCCATGCTGATATAGCAATATATGTCAACAAATACAGAAATCACAAACGATACAGAGATATATGTCAACCAATACAGAAATCCCATGTTAATATAGCAATATATGTCAACAAATACAGAAATCACAAACGATACAGAGATATATGTCAACCAATACAGAAATCCCATGCTGATATAGAGATAGATGTCAACCAATACAGAAATCACAAACGACAGATATATGTCTACAAACACACAATTCTCACACTGCCAGATATACCCGTTCACAAAAAGCATTGGCTCACTGCTTACATAAACTGAACTTGCCTGGCTCAAAGAAACTAAACACAGAAAAAAAGAAACTAGACGTAAAATATTAGAAAATAATGGCCTGCAGTTGTCACTATATTTTATACACACGATAGCCGCAACGTTCACGTTTTGTTTGTATTTGTTATATTGTGAAGCTTGCTTATATACTTTTCGTTCGGGTTTATATCTTTTCTTGATATTATACAACAGTGAATATTGGAAAATGACAGCGGGAATTACACATAAACTTGAGACTTCAAAATAAATGTTTAAGGATAATTCTATGAATATTTTGGCTAAACAAGATCTGGCATCACTGGCAAATGTTTTCAATGTAAGATGATGGAGATGGCTTGGATGTTTGCAGAATGCCTTGTGACACTCTGGCAAAAACAGTTATCCGGTGGACAGCATATGGGAAAAGGAGATGTGGACGACCTAAGGAAATTGGAGAAGGACAATAGAACGGGAAATTAAGAATGTAAATTGACATGGGATACCATGGGCAAAAAGGCAGCAGACCGGCAGCAATGGAGATCACTTGTGAATGCCTTTTGTGTCAACAGCAACATGAAGAGGATATAGATATATTTTAAAAATTACAAGTTAAAAGTAATTTAAATGAAACAGAAAACTCACCAGTCTCTGGCTGTCTAAATCCTCTCTGAAAAATAAACAGAGTTTTGGAACACACCACTGTAGGGTGGCAGCGTCGACCACTGACTGGCTGCCCTTTGACTGAAAGCGGCCGTCAAATTCTGCTCTCACCGTGGCCCACTGGGGACAGTTGTCATGTAAAAATATGAGCAACGCTATCACAACTTAAACAAATCAGTAGATTCTGACTTAAGCAAAGACAGAATAAGAGATCTATGTTCATCACAAGTGAGGAATCCTTTTCATGTCCGCAAGGATTTTAAAAATAAATGTAATGGGTGTCCTTTGCATGATGTTGCACAACCAACTAGAGCATTTTTAAATTAATTTTTTGCGACTTTACAAGGCAATTTTATGTTCAGTATTTTGCTATTTAATACATCAAGATCTCGATACTTTTACTTTACTTACTTAGTTGCTCCTCTTCTACCTTGGGGTATAGTTTGCCAGAGAGATCGCCAGACGTCTCTATCAGCAGTTTTCTTTCTGGCTTTGTTCCATTCCACTCCTCTGTCAGTTAGGGACTATCGGATGTTGTCTTCCCAGAGCACCCTGGGTTCTTAGCCTCTCATGCCTGCCATGGTGGCCGATTTTCTCCCATTCTGCATACATGTCCAAACCATCGTAACTGTGACTGATCCACTCGGGTTTGTAAGGACTGGGTATCAAGATCTTGACGTATTGTCTGATTGCGGACTTTGTCCCTTCTTGTCACTTGGACCACCTTTCTCAGATATCTCATTTCCGAGGCCTGCAGCTGGCTTCTGTGAGCTGTTGTCATTGCCCATGACTCACACCCATAGGTCAGGACTGGTACATAGGTAGAGCGGTAAACAGCCATTTTCATCCTCTTGTTAATTTCTCTTTTGCTAAGAAACCCTCGGTTTATGGCCTGGAAGAGTCTCCCAGCAGCTGCTTTTCTGTGTAGCCAGCTCAGTCTTAATGCCTCCATTTCGGTCTAATACAACTACAAGGAATTTGAACTGGTTAACCTGCTCCAATGCATACTGTCCCATCATGATCTGGTGTTTCTTCTCCTCTCTTGATATAACCAATCTCAATACCCAATCCTTACAAACCCGAGTGGATCAGTCACAGTTACAATGGTTTGGACATGTATGCAGAATGGTAGAAAATCAGCCACCATGGCAGGCAGGGGAGGCTAAGAACCAGAACTCCAGGACGACCCAGGGTACGCTGGGAAGACAACATCCGACAGTCCCTAACTGACAGAGGACTGGAAAAGAACAAAGCCAGGAAGAAAACTGCTGATAGAGACATCTTGCCATCTCTCTGGCAAACCTCTACACCCCAAGGTAGAAGAGAAGTGACTAAGTAAGTATTTTGCCATCAACAGCACTGTCGAAACCAACGTAAGGCGGTCTGCTGCCAAACTGAATGCAGCTGGGATCAAACCCAGCACCTCAGCATTAAGAAGCATGTTTGCAACGACTAAGCCACAGACGCTAACTAACCAAGTATCTGGTGCTAAATTCTCGAGACACATATATTATGTGTGTATGTGTGTGTATCCACACACACACACATACTACACTCGTGTGTGTATGTGTGTGTGCCTGTGCATGAATACACATTCTCTTCCACCTGTAGTATGTAATGCAGAAAGACAGCACCATTAATCTGACGACACACAAAAACTTCAAAACAAAAACAGCAAATACGTAGAATATAAGCCAATAACACAAAACTCCCAAAACAATTATGTAAACATCTGAAACAAACAATGCCAGCACATGAAACAAGACTGACCAATGCTTTCCTGGCCTTGTACCCTCTGAACACCGACTGAATTTTGGTGGCACTAGCAATCTGCAAGCGATTTTCCTGTAACAGAAAAATAAAACTGCTATACCATTTCTTGGCATGAAATCTGCTTCATAATAATGCTTATAATAATGAATATTTTAATTCAGCTTCCTGTGGTAAATAAATGGATCATGTGTGCTAAACTATAATACTTTATAGATGTGCTAGATTATGTTGTAAATGGGCTAGACTGTTACGATATTTATTAGATCATAAAACACTGCAGATGTTCTAGATTGTAATACATCTTAGGTGTGTAAGACTGAGATATATCACAGGCGTGCCCAATATGAATATCTTATCATTTTCAAAGTTATTCATAAGACATCTGAACATTAAAGTATTGTTTACAACCCCCATAATCCAAGCTCCATTTAAACTGGTTTTCCTCGACCTGCCACTGATATTATGAGAACAAATAAAACACAGTACTGGAACACATAAAACATACTTCTCTTTTTCGTCTTTCCTCCTGAGCTCTTTGAATCAGGGATTCTTTCTTTTCCTTGAAAAAAAAATATATATATAATCAACAACTGTCACCATATACATCTCAGCTTCCAGTTACACATTTCAGCTGCCACCACGTTAAAAGAAATAAAACGCTTTTAAAAACCATACTGGAGGGAAAAGTCAAGGGCAAGAAAGCAAGAGATAGGCAACATTAAAAGTGGGAGGACAACATTAAGAGATGGATGAACAGCAGTCTGAGAGAGTACAACAAAGACAAGAGACAGAGCGTGTTGGAGATCCACTGCAGCCAACCTTCAATGTGGAGATGACACCTGACTGATTGAGTCTAACATACACACCTCTACAAATGATCCACATAACCTTTTAGTATGCAGATCTGTATTACTGCATCTGTATTCATGACATCTTTATTTTAGTAAAACTACAGGAAGAGCCACTGAGAAAACCTTTCTTCTTCTTTCATTCGCTTAAAATAAAGTATCTATATCTGCAATGCTGTCTCTAGTATGAACTTCACTTTCTTTTGTAATTCACTTAGCGGCCCGTAAAGTTTGGCTTGCACCAGTGTCTCTGCTGGCCAGATTTTTTGCTAGGAAATGTTGTATCTGGGACAGTCTTTGAGGACATGATCTGTGTCTCCAGTGCTAGTCCACATGTGCACACGACGGATCTGCCAATCTTTAACTTTGTGTACATGTGGTTGCAAAGTTGGCTGTGCCCTGTTCTAAGGCCTAGAATAATGACTTACTCTAGTCTGTCCATAATATGGCAATAGTCTTGTGCCAGTTTTGGTGGCTTTTTGGCTGATTTGATTAGCCTCTTCTTCTGTTGATAAGAGACTGGTACGTAAGGGTGTTCTTCAATTGCACCTTCCTTAGCTAGTTTATCAGCTCTCTTATTTCAGAGAACTCCACAGTGGGATGGTATCTGCTGCATGGCTACCTTACACCGGTTCCCTCGTTTGAAGAGTTGTGCCCATATACCTGGTAAATTTCTAGACTGAAGTGCCTGAAGTACCACTTTTGTATCTGTCAGGAATACCAATGGTTGTGAAATATGCCCGGTATCTTAACTGGGAAACTCACAATGATATATTAATCATGTTAACTTTTAAAATAAAAAAAAATAAAATGCGTATATCACTGATTCTCAATTATTCTCTCAATAAGCATTGTATTTTAAATGTATAAACATTGAACCGCCTCCACTCATAACACAATAAGCGGCAAACACTGTTGTCTGTTATTTAATCGACTGATCAACCTCACTGCACAGTCCACAAGTGCTCCACAAGTCCATAAGCACTCGGATCCCATCTTTAGTATGTCTCTTAGCATTTGGCGACTGATAACACCAATGCTGTGTTGGTTTACTATTCATCTTTGGCTACCTACATAGTGTTCATGTCTGACAACACCTCTTTTTGCCTGAAATTCTTAGTCTTCTCATGGTTGCTAATTCACTATTGCATTGTCTCCTGAATCATCTACCCAGAAAGCATTGAGAGAACACAGGTCCGGTCACCATCCACTGTTCTCCCTCTGCCTACTGTGGCTTTGCCAGCACTGCAAACCAGACAATTAATTCCCTCCTACTTCAGAGAGTCCTGACACAAGCACCGAAAAATTAAGCTGATTTCTTTAATTGTCAAACCGAGATTTCCTCAGACTCCAGATCTATCCCTGCCATTGTCTTCGTACCCACCCTGTCTCTTAATGATAAGATTAAGTTCATCTTCATACATAATCATGTTTCACGAAATCTTTTTTGTTGTTTAATTTTAATATCCAGAAACCAGAGTTCTTAACCCTTTGGCTCGGTACTTTGTATATCATCGTCGCAAATGAGAAATCTGTGCCGCTCGCCGTGTCATCTCTTTTGTTGTTATTGCTGTTTACCTCGGAATCTCAATTCTGACTGAGAGCAGATGAGAGAATCGCAAACGACTCGATTTACTACGAACGCGAAAGTGTAGTTTGTCTATTAGTTAGTGTTAGTTAGTTAAGTTAGTATTTTATTAGTAACGACAATTCCTGCGACTCTTGTACTTGAACTTCTGAAATCTTCAGCTCATCCATTGACACAGGCTAACCCTATTATACATCAAAAATAACTCAGATAAACAATGCCTGCAACAACCCTTACATTTCTGCTAGCCCCCCTGAGCGACTGAACAGGCCGTTGGCGAAATTCGCCGTTAAAACTGTACATCTTGTCCCGTCCAGCTACCAGACGTCACTTTGCTCCAGCTTTGTCATTCTTCCACCTAGTCTTTTCTTACGCTCCTTCTCATTGGTCCGCTATTTTTAGCCCAGTGATGATCTTCTCAAGTCAAACGGTGTAAATTGTCTATTCACACGGATATGGTCATCATTGACAATATTATTATATATGAAAAACAGAAGAAACATGTATTGATTGGCACTCACAGAAAGAAGTAGAAAGATAGAAGGACACACTAGACAACATAAAAAATGAAAGCTATAGTTAACAATTTCTTCTTGTTAAGCAGAAGTAATCCAGTTATTGACTTTTAACATAACACCATATAACCCAGTTATGATCCAGAGGTTAAAGAGGGTAATTTTTTTAAATTTTTATTTTATTTTAAATATGCTACTACTTCCCCCGTAGAAAAAAGCCTTAACTAATTCAATGTCCTCTCCATCTGCAAACTCTTCAACTCCCTTATTCATATGTGATTGGGAGGTTTGGGGTGAGGGGGTGTGACACTGTCTTTATTATATAAACTGTGTATGCTCGAGTTCACGGACATTGCAGTTAAATATTTTTTTCTTAGTGTGTGTCTTGCAAACAACCAAAGGGACTTTATTGTCAACACATTACAAATCAGACATGCCGGGTTGCCTAACATTTGACCCTTCCAGGTATTCATCTTTCATACAGCAGTATATGTCAAGCATATTATGTTCATATACCAAATTTAATTGTATAAATGTAAATTAAAAATACAAAGGCATGGATGGCAAATGCATACCCTTAAATATACAAGCAAAAATACTCACACATCACTGACACACACAAGCACATACACAACACCCTTACAAACACAGAGGGTGCACATATTAATGACACACACAATAAAAACAGGCATTCACACAATCATAGATAGAACACATACACACTGATCCAATACACAGATCCAACATACATACACAGATAAGCAACACACAAAGTCACAACATCTACACACAGACACAACATACACACAGACAACAAACACCAATACAACATACATAGTATAAGTATTTTTTTCCTCACCTTTTGATTTGCTTGCATTTGTTTAGGTTTCTCTCAGAACTCCACATTAGTGATTCTGTCATACCATTTAATTCCTTGTAAATCACATGGAAATTATAATTTGTTTACCAACAATTGTCACAATTATTTTAAAAGTAAATTTATAAAGAAAGAAGCCTGAACATTTTGACATATGTATCAGTAACATATGTATCAGATTTTATTAAAATTTCTCAAGACAGAGGGCTGTGGTCAGACATGACTACCATGGCCACACGACAGATTATAAAAAGAAAACATAATAAATACACCATGAACAGATAAAAAGAATAACAAAGATGTCTTGAAATTTATTAACTCATAGAGAAGTGATTACACGTATTAGAGGGAGATAATTGGCTTTCGTTGGTTTGGTCACATCATGAGAAAGGGGGAAATGGAGCACATTGTGATAACAAGACAGCTGGATGGGAAGAAAAGCACAGGGAAACCAAGAGAAAGGATTCAGAACAGTTTGGGGTCACCCCCGTGTGGGTTCCGGGGCCCTATTGTGGGGAAAACAAGAATAGACCCACTGCCTCCCCAAAAGCATGTCGTAAGAGTCGACTAACTGGGGAGCTTCCTTTGAAGTCGAAGTGCATCTGCCTGAGAGGCAAGGAACCAGCAGTCTGCATTCAATAGAATCAGATCTGTAAAACTGATGCACATGCAACACCCAGGTTCTGGAGCAGGACTGCAGTCCAGAAGTGGACGAACAACCAGAACTTTACGCCAGAATGTACAGCTGGTGAACGCAAAGAAGAAGAAGAAGAAGTTTGGGGTCATGGCATGAAAAATCATCTGTATCAGAAACGAATTTCAGTAAATCTGACACAAGGCTGTAAATAAATATGATTACCAATGGAATGTTCAAAGATTTTTATATGGGCTTTGCTTGTTTGTTTGCATTCACGAGCTGTAAACTCTAGTTAAAGATCCTGGTTGTTTGTCCGTTTATAGATATTGGCTTTGTTCCAGTACCTGGGTTATGCATATGCATCCATTTAACAGACATGTGTTTTTCCCTTGACTATCAGGGGGGATGGAATGTGGCTTTAAAGGAGTATTTGAACTTAATTTGGCATTGTAAAATTAATATTATTGATCTAAAGCGAAAAAAAGTAATTCATAAAGTAGCATGTTACTACAATTCCTGGATTTATGACTTAGTATGGGTGAAGAAACAGTATACGTAAAGCGCCACTAGATCCTTATACTGAACAGCTGAACATGATGTTTTGAGTTGTTATGCTCCCAACACTTCAGACATGTCCAGAGGTGCTCAGATTCCCTCTCCCTCAACAAATACATTCTGTATGCTGGTTGATAAGACATCACATACATCTGTTGGGCCTCTCGTTCACGTCAACCTTTGCTCCCAAATCCTACATTCTTAGCAACAGATATGGACAAACTACCCCAAAGTTACCCAATTCCTCCCACCCCTTTCCCTCTAAAGGTATTAGAAACATTGGCAAGATCCATAAGCAAAGATTGAATGAATTAATTGATCAAGAATTGACATCACTGCACTCGGAATATTTCCACGATCCTTCGCCTTTTTCAGTAGCCAGTGAAGTAAGTAAAGTAAAGGACCCCTTTCCCCGCCTTTAGGCATATAGGGCATATAGGGCTAGACCTATATTTTATAGATCAGTCGGCACAAGATGGATGATGTGGTCAGCATCACGCCGGCCACCTTCACTTCCCGGGACTTCACCCAGTACCTACTCAAGGCTGGGTCGACCTAGGAGCCAAGGTCATGTTTTTATAAAGTCCGGCTCCGACCTTCCGATCTGCGGCGAGCCAATGAAGAGTTGATATATTAATAGTACCATTAGAGAGTGTGTGCGTGCATAGGCCTTGATACCTTCTTCATTGTCCAACAAAGACAGAGCAAGAATGAGATACAAATATTATGGTGACTCAGCAGTGAAACTGCACTGATTTTACAAATCTCTTTTGTGTGCAGCCTTCCTCATCCATTAGATCACGGAATCATTCAGTTGTGTGTTCTTCTGTATCGACACAAAGCTGGACAAAACTAGGCTTTTGTAAATGAAACTTTTGAGACCGGAAGGGGGTGTGGGGGTGAGTGGCACTGAGGTATTATGAAGTGCTATGTGTTGGATCATTAACTCTGAGTCCCAAGGAACGCATCATATGTTTATAGGTTCCTACCTAGAAGCCCAAAGAACGCATGATGCACCGCTTTTATTACTTTCTTTACTACCACCTGGGCCTGTTATGCTAAACCCCCTGGGACTCAAAGAGTTAAAACTACCAAGAGGATTCTGTGGCACCGTTTTTTGGGGAGAAAATAACAGACCCAGTGTCCCCATATTGTGAAAGGTGACTGGCTAGGGATGTTTCCTTCTAAATCAGAGTGCATCTGCCCGAGAGGTGGGAAACTAAAAGTGTGCATACAGACAAGTCAAATCTGTAAAATGTATGTGCATTTAAATCTAAAGTTCTGGGGCAGGACCAAAGTCCAGAAGTGGATGAACAACCATAACATTTTGCTGGAGTGAACTCCAATGAACTCTAAGAAGAAGAAATATAAGACACATTAAAACAATAATGAAAAAAAATTTAAACAATATAATTAAAAATAAAAAAGCTGGAAATTAGAAACTAGACTTCTGTAAGGAAAATCCTAGGTATAAGACTGGTAGGGGAAGATGGAGAATGATGTATATGGAAAGCTGGGTGATAAATATTAATATAAGCAACATCAAGTTCATCAAAATATTTGATAAGAAAATGAGATTAGAAAGTCACGACCACTCACATCCAACCCTGACCAAGCAAATGAGGATGTAAGTAAAAATTTAAAAAAAGTAAAGTACTCTTTTCCACACCTTTAGGCTTATTGGGCATATAGGGCTAGACCTATCTTCTACAGACATGTCGACACTTGGTGGGCAATATGGTCAGCATCATGCAAGCCGCCTTTACATCCCATGTCTTTTACTTGGTACCCATTTAAGTTTGGGTCGACCTGGGAGCCAAGGTCATTTTACCTGAGGATGTCCAATATTTGTCTTTTTTACAAAAGAAAGTACCTACCAGGGTCTAAGGAAGCCCTCATAACTTGTGCTTAATATACATTTCTTCCTCAAAGGAATGACAACAAAATAAATTACACAACTCATTACTATTTTTACTCAATTTATTCAAAATACCTGCATGCTTTATCAATAAATCATCAACAGGTAAGCAATCAAAAGGAATGATGTCGATAACATACCAACAAACTAAAAAAAGGGGCGTGCAATAAATAAAACATATTTACAAACTACAAATATTAAAAAACAAAACGCAAGTAGTAAATTAAAATTTGACACAAAATACTTTCAACAGAATACAACTTATCATCATCATCATCATCATTATCATTATCATCATCATCATTATCATCATTATCATTATCATCTTTATCATCATCATCATTATCATCAAGTGCCTTGCAAATTGAAGTTGGTGATCATGCTTTTTTCACATCCTGTGACCTAAACAGAATGTATCAGTTTGCTCAGTTTGTGTTCTCTCACCCTCCTAAGCCGTGATAAAATTTTATCAACAATCTTATCTTGTCATCTTCCTACTATTCTCTTTCCACAAATCTTTCCTGTTGTCACATGTTCCATTTCCTATATTCTTACACATATATATATATTTTACTGGTTGGACAGCAAGGTGTTGGTTATCGGGAGCACATCAGTTAAGTGATTTCTGTGTATTCTTGTTTGTACTTATGGTGGTGCCATTTTTGCAATGTGCTGATGAACGCTCTCTAGCCGCAACATTCACTTGTTTGTGATATTGTAAAGCTGACAGCTTCTACTGTTTGTTTAGTTTGATATCTCTTTACGAGGCTCTATTTTTGTGTGGGGACAAAAATGGGGTCAACTAACTGTATCAAATATAACTAAAAACTATACACAAATATAATAAAACAATACCATGGAAATTGGTCCTGTTTATAAGGTAAAATTAAAAATGTGTCAACATTTGGTTAGATGTAATACATTTATGAAATTCATATACGACTGTGTGTTAGAATCTTTGGTTCATCTATCCCTGTTCTTGTTTCCACTTTGTTGCCTCTCTTGTGTCCACTGTGTTTCCTGTCTTGTTTCCACTATGTTGCTTGTCTTGTTTCCACTGTGTTGCCTGTCTTGTTTCCACTATGTTGCCTGTCTTGTTTCCACTGTGTTGCCTGTCTTGTTTCCACTTTGTTGCCATTCTTGTTTCCACTTTGTTGCCCGTCTTGTTTCCACTGTGTTGCCCGTCTTGTTTCCTTTGTGTTGCCTGTCTTGTTTCCACTATGTTGCCTGTCTTGTTTCCACTGTGTTGCCTGTCTTGTTTCCACTGTGTTGCCTGTCTTGTTTCCACTGTGTTGCCCGTCTTGTTTCCACTTTGTTGCCTGTCTTGTTTCCACTGTTGCCTGATTTCTGATATCTTGTATCAGCCTCTTTAAATATCTGTTTGTTTTTTTACTATCTTCTTCTTCTAACAGGCCATGTTGTGTGCCATAGGTAGTTGCATCTCTCCACATCCTTGTCTTGTGTACTTTAAACCATTTTTGATACAGATTGTCTTGAATGCCATGATGTTAAATTATCCAGCAATCCAATCTCCCTCCAATCCTTTTCCTCTCCAATTTTCCAGACATCACGATGTATTCCAGTTCCCCCTTCTCACGATGGACCAAAGATTGTCTCCTTCTTATGTGAGAAATCAGTTTTCTCCATGGGTTAATTTTTTTTAGACATCTTTATTACTTATTTAATATATATAACAAGCCTCTAGAACAGTGATCTTCAACCTGCGATGACTGTATCAGTACTTTTAATAATCCATTATACCAGGATTTCCTAAATTTCTTAGTCGCGGCGCATTTTTTCAATTAAAACTTTTCCACAGCGCCCTAACCTAAGTAAAAGTATGACTATTTGTGTCTTGGTTTAATTAATTATAAAGCTTTTTTCATTATTTTGCAGCGCCTCTGTAAAAAGGTCACGGCTCCCCGGGGCGCAGTGGCCTACAGTTTGGAAATCACTGCATTATACTAAAACATTTTTGTTTTCAAGTTTACTTCTAAATAAAATAGACCGTTAAAAATCCTAATTAATAGGATAATATGTACATGTAATTATAGATTCAAAACACATTCCTCCTCTTTTTTTTTTACATCACATTTTTTTATGTTGGGGGGGGGGGGGGGGGGGTCTTGCCACATTCTCAAGTGGTGCGCCACCTGGAAAAAAAAAAAAGGTTGCAGACCACTGTCTAGAAGTACTTTCCAATTTTCTGTGTTTATCGAACCCTCTAAAAAATCTGTCAATTCTTAATTGTAAAAGTCAGCTGCCATATGCCAGACAAAATTTATAATGTCTGGGTAATACTGAACTGCAAACATGGTTATGGAAAATAAAATCTTGGTGACAAGAAAGCACATTTTAATGTCATTCATGCCATTTTATTTGAAAATGTGTCCACCGATATATTAATCACAAAATGTGAAAGTAAGTGAAGAATCTCTATCCCATTCTAGAGTATGAGGTTATAGTATGAGACCCGTATTTTAACAGAACAATCAGTACGTGAGAGGCGATGTAATCAACATCACCCCAGCTAACTTTACTTTACAGAACATTTCTAATTTCAGACTTAGTTGATCTAGGAGCCGTATGAATTACAATAGGTGCAATATGAAAACATGACATTATTGTCATCAAATATATTATTATAACTTTATAAATAAAGCAGAAGGAAAAAATAAGTAAATGCGTGTCCTTTTACGTCTATTTGTAAATGGGCGCATTTATGATTATAACGTCAAAAATGATAAGAAATGAAAACTGGGTATGAGTGAAACCTGATGATAGTCAATCAACATTAGATTGTTTGAATAAAAGATCAACATCATGGCACACATGTAGTAACCCATAAGTGCTCAGTTCTTCTTCTAACACAAGTCTGATCCGAAGAAGCTCAGCACAGTGCACAGGCTCTGTAGCACCGGCGAAGTTAACCAACAAAAGCTGTGCACCATTTGAAAGACCATGGACAAAAAACTTAGCAGGGAATTCATTTACTGCAGTTATACAATAAAGGTATGATGCATTAACAATTGAGTTGAGAGCTCTGTCCTCATCTTCAGCAGCCAGCGCAGAGTTCCAGTACTTATGGTACCGGTCACAATCTGGTTATATGTACGATGCATTAACAGAATATATGTAACACCTTTTTTTGGATTTGTTTGGAGATTGATGCAAATTAATTAAAACTATTTTTTATTATAACAAAGAAGACATAAAAAACAAATTGCACAATTTACTGTCATGCATATTTCGCTGTATCTCATCAGGTGCATTCTACAGAAACAATTCAATAAAATTAATAAAATAAATGAATTCTTCATAACTGAAGTACAAATTCAAACTCTCAAAACCAACTGCCTGCTTTACCAGGGTAATCACAGAGTAACTATCATTTCTTTCTGTTTACAAAGTTCTGGACGGAGGTAATGAATAGTGGTGCCTTAAGGAAATCTTAGAGCTCTGACAAGCATGACCCAGGTGACCAGTTGCAAAGACCATCCTTCTTCAACTGCGCACGACTTTTGAACTCTGGACATGTTGTAAATAAGGCCAGCACATTCTGAATTCTTCAAATAACGTCCAATGGCAGAGTGCTAAGATTTCTTGAAGCCACCACTTTTCGCGAACTCGGTCCAGAATTTAGTAAACAGAAAGACTTGATAGCGTCATAAGCTATAAAAGATGCATGCCTTGAGGGTATTTATAAAAAAACAATGAAGTACAAAATATGAATTTTTTAAAACTATTACCATAATTTACACAGTCTCTTTTTTTAATCCCTTGTTAAACTATAAGTCACCAACAGAAGTTTAAAATCAACCATGTGATCACAATGGATTGTTTTGTGCTTCCTTAAATGTTAATGTAAACTCTAAAAACTCACCTGACAAAATACAGCAAAATATGCTACACAATAAATTGTTTGTGTTGTCATTATGTATTTATTTTTTGCTTCTGTGTGTATGCTATTGATTAACCCTGTCCAATCTAGATGATAGGGTTATAACTGTGTGATACCATGCTTGACATAGTTTCTTCCTCACAGCTGGTACCTGAAATCAGAGCTCTTCTGTGGATCTTGAGGACTTCTACTCATCATTTAAATACTCAGAATATATTTATGTGCAAACATAAAAGGATCAAATATCAAAATGTATAACTGTTAACAAAAAAAATAAAAAAGGTGAAAATTGGTAAACTGCAAGGGAGCAAAGTCAGGTAGAATTAGAGAGTACTCTCCCCCTGTGTAGATTCCAGGGCCCTATGTTAGGCGGAAAAGAGAGGACCCCCCCCCCCCCCCCCCCCCCCCCCCACTTTTCCTCAACAAGCATGTTATAGAAGGCAACTAATAAGCAGGTCTGCAGAAATCGGAGGTGTTAGGCCAAAAAAAGTGCAGATATCACAGTCCAGATATAAACCATATCACAAATTCCCAACTGTCCTTATGACTCTTTCAGTTCCAGGGGGTTTAGCATCAGAGGCCCAAGGAGTGTCAAGAGAGACGTAAAAATTGCCACATCTTGCATTCACTGGGCTTGCAGGTAGGAACATGAAGGCATGACGTGTTATTTGGGTCTCACAGAGTTTAGGGCAATCAAAGAAGAAGAAGAAAAGAGTACTCTAATTCAAATAAGGACAACTCAGTTTCTATGGCATCAACAAAATATGTTAGAGAAATCCCTGATAAATAAAATATTCTTAGACTGACATCAATAGTTTCAAGATAGGGACATAAAGACAAATGTTTCTCTTCACGTCTGCTTCCTCAACCTCTCTGTGCTAGTTAATGCTCTATACATGGCAAACAGGAAGCAGGGTGCTGGCAACTTGCAGCGGCCATCCGGTAATAAAGCACAACATTTTACTAATGTGTGTAAACAATTTACTATCACTTAGGAATGTGAATGAAAGTTAATAACTTTCACCCTTTCTTTCTCTTTGTGTATGACTCTTAGATGTATATATATCTCTCTGTGTGTGTATGTGTGAGGGCATGCGTGAGTGTGTGGGCACGTGCGCGCTCACGTATGTGGCGTGCGTGCTTGCGTGTGTGTATACATACATACACACATATGTATGTATGTATGTATGTATGTATGTATGTATGTATGTGTGTGTGTATATTTATATATATATGCACACACACACACACGCAAATGTGTGTGTGGTGTGGTGTGTGTCTACATATATATTTATATCCAATGAATGTCAAGGAAGCATTACTCAACTTGTACAGAAACAGGTTAACATCACAATATTAGCCAAATGTAACGGTGCGCAGAGCATTATTCTCAGCAACTTCAAATGTTGCAACAGCGCCGTCATTAAACTTGAAAGACATGCCTCCATCAATCACCAAACAGGCATCCCACATTCTTGAACGGATATCAATTCTGGGGAGAAGATTCATTACATGTTAATCAACAAAACATTTATCATGGTAATCATTACATAGAAAAACTTCTAAAGATCTAAACCTCTGTCATTAGGCTTGGCTCTGCCTGTTTCAAGCATCACAGAACACACATTATCATCTACTGTCTATGCGCATCAACCATCCTTTGGCGTGTTTGGATATTTATTACATATGGTTAAAACACATATAAGAAATCTGGCAAGATATTTTCACACACAGTAAGGTATATGTTGCATCTCTCAAAGTAAGGCACTCATATTCTTTTCATTGAGGTAATGTGCCACTAGAGATTTTGAAGTAAAGTTTCTGTGGCTCAGTGGGTTACAAGGTAGTATGCATAATTAACTGCACAGCAAAAATGTTGGTGCGTTCTTAATATCCTACCCCAAACAGGGAAAATCTACAGGTCACAGGACAGTCAAATATTTCAGGGGTGGTAGATAGGCTGCATGTAGTCGTGGGACCTAGGCTGCACTCTCTCGTTGGGTTGGGGTTAGGGCTAGATGTTTAGGGTCATTAAAAGCGTCAGAAAGCCGGGAAACCCAGTAATACCACCCTCTAAAATGTTGGACTGTCCTGTGACGTCATCTGGGGGGGGGGTAGGATATTACGAAAGAATCAAAATGTTTAATATTCAGTCCAGATATTTAAAACAGTACAATGCAAAATTTCTAAGTGATGGCCCTCACACACTGTAAAATTATAACTGAGTAAATAAGTCTCTCCTTTAAACTGTGGACGATGATGAGATAACAGATCTGAACTGTGGACGATGATGAGATAACAGATCTGAACTGTGGACGATGATGAGAAAACAGATCTGAACTGTGGACAATAATGAGATAACAGATCTGAACTGTGGACAATAATGAGAAAACAGATCTGAACTGTGGATGATGATGAGATAACAGATCTGAACTGTGGACGATGATGAGATAACAGATCTGAACTGTGGACGATGATGAGATAACAGATCTGAACTGTGGACGATGATGAGATAACAGATCTGAACTGTGGACGATGATGAGATAACAGATCTGAACTGTGGACGATGATGAGATAACAGATCTGAACTGTGGACGATGATAAGATAACAGATATGAACTGTAGACAATGATGAGATAACAGAACTGAACTGTGGACAATGATGAGATAACAGATCTGAACTGTGGACGATGATGAGATAACAGATCTGAACTGTGGACGATGATGAGATAACAGATCTGAACTATGGACGATGATGAGATAACAGATCTGAACTGTGGACGATGATGAGATAACAGATCTGAACTGTGGACGATGATAAGATCACAGATATGAACTGTAGACAATGATGAGATAACAGAACTGAACTGTGGACAATGATGAGATAACAGATCTGAACTGTGGACAATGATGAGATACCAGATCTCAATTGTGGACAATGATGAGATAACAGATCTGAACTGTGGACAATGATGAGATAACAGATCTGAACTGTGGACTTTGCATGCTGGTGTAGCATTGGACACTACAAACAGAGACATACTCATGAGGACATTGGAGCAGCTATGGTCATGTCCAAAGAAGATGGTCTAACAATGAACAATAAACACTACAATCAAGCAGATAGAAACACAAGTGATACTTACTTTTGAGCAAATCCACTAGTGCGCTCTACACTAAAGACTGGACACTACAATAAGACCAAGCAGACAGAAACACAAGTGATACTTACTTTTGAGCAAATCCACTAGTGCGCTCTACACTAAAGACTGGACACTACAATAAGACCAAGCAGACAGAAACACAAGTGATTCTTACTTTTGAGCAAATCTATTTGTGCTCTCCACACTAAAGACTGGACACTACAATAAGACCAAGCAGACAGAAACACAAGTGATACTTACTTTTGAGCAAATCTATTTGTGCTCTCCACACTAAAGACTGGACACTACAATAAGACCAAGCAGACAGAAACACAAGTGATACTTACTTTTGAGCAAATCTATTTGTGCTCTCCACACTAAAGACTGGACACTACAATAAGACCAAGCAGACAGAAACACAAGTGATACTTACTTTTGAGCAAATCTATTTGTGCTCTCCACACTAAAGACTGGACACTACAATAAGACCAAGCAGACAGAATCACAAGTGATACTTACTGTTGAGCAAATCTATTTGTGCTCTCCACACTAAAGACTGGACACTACAATAAGACCAAGCAGAGAAAAACACAAGTGATACTTACTTTTGAGCAAATCCACTAGTGCGCTCCACATTAAAGACAGCTGAAATATGAAATCAGTTGGTTACGGCTGTGATGGTCACTGACTCAAACTAATATTGTGTTCAAAGTGCTGATTTCTGCCTCTAATTCTCACCCCTGTCTCTAATTCTCATCCCTGTCTCTAATTCTCATCTCTGTCTCTAATTTCCATCTGTCTATTATTCTCATCTGTCTCTTAATTCTCATCTGTCTCTAATTCTCACATGTCTCTAATTCTCATTTGTCTCTAATTCTCTTTTCTGTCTCTTATTCTCACCTATCTCTAATTCTCATCTCAATGTGTGTTCAGATCTACATTAATCTCCTCTGTCCTAGGAATTTCACTATAAGGACATTCTAAATTGGGAGTAGAGCTGAAATGATGAGAAAATAAAAGTTACATTTAGTTGTTTCGATGTGATTCCATGGGACAGTTTTGTATTGTCAGTCAGAAGACAGATCATCCTTAAGGCACATAAAACCATTCAGTCCCTAAATGCCTAGATCCCCTCCTCAGTAAAGCCCACAGCGTGTAGCGGCTGATGACATTAGTTGTGTGTGTGTGTGTTTGTTCATCTTCTTTGGCTTTGTGCATAGTGCTTATGTCTGGCCACATATCTTTTCACTCGCCGTTCTTACTGCCTTATCATGGTTGCAGATTCAGTCATCCCATGTTTTTTACAAATGTTTTTACTTCTCGTAGAGTATTCAGTTTTGTACAGTACAGATTCAAAAATACTTCACACTCTTTAATAACACCACACAAACTAAGCCAGAATAGTACATCATTTGTAGTATTTGCATACAAGAATCAGTTTAGAAACACTTCTACTGTGGGTAGAAATTCACACTTCAAGCCTAACAACACTAGTGATACTGAAGATAAAGATCAAATACAGGTCTGAAGATAAACAATGCTGCGAGGGTAGGAGTCATGAGTTTAACAAATTGGACAACTTCTGTCCATTTGTTAAAGCAGCGGTTTTCAACCTGCCGGGGTTTGGCAGGTTTGAATGAACTTTTCACAGGGGTCGCCTAAGACCATCAGAAAACACATATTCATTGAAGTTATGTAGGAAAATGATTGTTTGGGAGTTGTCACAAAATGAGGGAACTGTTTTAAAGGGTTGTGGCATTAGAAAGGTTGACAGCTAGTGTCCTAAGAACTACAGACCCTCGGCCAAGTCATCCTATTTGTTACCATTCCCTGAAGCTAACCCTCATGCTCCCTTCTTATCCAACGCCTCCTAATTCTCTTCTCCATATGTTTTTTCATATCCTTTTATTTAAAAATGGGCCCACATGCCTGCAAATACATACCATTTCTGATAGGATCCCGTATAGTGTAGGCCATGAATGGGTCACTGGGGTCGAAGCGTAAGCTGTTGTTGAAACTGGTCATAATCTGTTCTCTCACTACCGGGTCATCAACTGGGAAGTTGCAGCCAGACATCCGAGTAGCTGTAGACAAGGTATGTCAACATGAAAAAAAAAATTCTGCTATTCTCACTCACCGAGTCTTTGTATGGACAGGCATTTAAAATTCTGAACTATCTCTCAAAATGTGGATATACAGTATAATAGGGCATATTTCATGGAAACAAAAATAATCAAATACAGAGGGGTTCTGGAATAACTGCAAATGACAACAGAATTCCTGAAAGGGGAAAAAATGAGAGGCAACTGAAATATTTTGCCACATTAAAAGACATAATACGCTCTTAAAAACTATATTGGAAGGAAAGATGGAGGGCAAGAGAACAAAAGGTAGACAATGTTACAAGTGGGTGGACAACACCTAGAAATGGATGAACAGATGTTTGAGAGAGTGTACAAAGAAAGACAAGAGACACAGCCTGCTGCAGATACATTGCAGCCAACCTTCAGTGTGGAGATGGCACCTGACTGACTGACTGACTGCCTGACTGACTGCCAGTCTTTGTGATCAGCTCCACATTAAATTCTCCACTCTTGCAGTCACAGCATAGAACTTTCATGCAGAGAACTAACATGAACAGTATTGCCATCCTGACAAGAACTAATATGAACAGTATTGCCATCCTGACAAGAACTAATATGAACAGTACTCCCATCCTGACAAGAACTAACATGAACAGTATTGCCATCCTGACAAGAACTAACACAAACAGTATTGCCATCCTGACAAGAACTAACATGAACAGTATTGCCATCCTGACAAGAACTAACATGAACAGTATTGCCATCCTGACAAGAACTAACATGAACAGTATTGCCATCCTGACAAGAACTAACACAAACAGTATTGCCATCCTGACAAGAACTAACATGAACAATATTGCCATCCTGACAAGAACTAACATGAACAGTATTGCCATCCTGACAAGAACTAACACAAACAGTATTGCCATCCTGACAAGAACTAATATGAACAGTATTGCCATCCTGACAAGAACTAACATGAACGGTATTGCCATCCTGACAAGAACTAACATGAACAGTATTGCCATCCTGACAAGAACTAACACGAACAGCATTGCCATCCTGACAAGAACTAACATGAACGGTATTGCCATCCTGACAAGAACTAACATGAACAGTATTGCCATCCTGACAAGAACTAACACAAACAGTATTGCCATCCTGACAAGAACTAACATGAACGGTATTGCCATCCTGACAAGAACTAACATGAACAGTATTGCCATCCTGACAAGAACTAACATGAACGGTATTGCCATCCTGATAAGAACTAACATGAACGGTATTGCCATCCTGACAAGAACTAACATGAGTAGACTTGTAATGAAGAGAAACTGTGAATACAGGAACTATCATGGGGCGGGAATAAATGTGAAAAGAACTGTCACACACTAGACTGTCATCTACAGCACTAAATGTGTCTTATGCAGGGCGTATTTCTGGTGATTTACAATGTTTAGCAGTACCAGCAACCTTTTAGGGCATTATTTTTTTCCAGTGCTACAGTAATAAACATCTTATTTCGAGCACTGGAACCTTTCTCTTTTTCGGAAAAAAATAAGAAAGCCCTGGCCTTTCTGAGTATCCACTAACAAAATGAGGTCAGATGCAAGGAAACTGTTACTTTCATAAAAGCTGGATAAATGGAACACTTTCCATCTCTTATGCCTGTTTTCATATGTGATGTTAAAAAAATGTCTAAATTACACACCTGACATGGAACAAACCCAATGTGATTTTTTTTAAATGTCTAAATTAAAGACCTGACATGGAACAAACCCATATATGATTTTTAAAATGTCTAAATTAAAGATCTGGCATGGAACAAACCCATATATGATTTAAAAAATGTATAAATTAAACACCAGCCAAAAAACAAACCCATATGTGAAAAAAATGTCTGAATTAAACACCTGACATGGAACAAACCCATATGTGATTTTTTTTAAAGTCTAAATTAAACACCTGACATGGAACAACCCCACAGCTAATGATAAAATGTGTATAAATCAAACACTTTATTTGGAACAACCCCACAGCTAATGATAAAATGTGTATAAATTAAACACTTTATTTGGAACAACCCCACAGCTAATGATAAAATGTGTATAAATTAATCACTTTATATGGAACAACCCCCCTGATGATAAACTAATGTGTGCAAATTAAACTTTTTATGTGGAACAACCCCACAGCTGATAAACTGATGTGTGTAAATTAAACAACTTACACAGAACAAACTCAGCTGATTTTTAAAAATGTGTAAGTTAATGGAACAAACCCACAGCTGAAGAAAAAATGTCTGTAAATCAATGCAACAAACCCAAAGTTGATAAAAATGTGTGTAAGTTAATGGAACAAACTCACAGCTGATAAATAAATGTGCACAAGTTAATGAAACACACTCACAGCTGATAAAAAAATGTGCACAAGTTAATGGAACAAACTCACAGCTGATGAAAAAATGTGCACAAGTTAATGGAACACACTCACAGCTGAGAAAAAAATGTGCACAAGTTAATGGAACAAACTCACAGCTGATGAAAAAATGTGCACAAGTTAATGGAACAAACTAACAGCTGATAAAAAAATGTGCACAAGTTAATGGAACAAACTCACAGCTGATAAAAAAAATGTGCACAAGTTAATGGAACAAACTAACAGCTGATAAAAAAATGTGCGCAAGTTAATGGAACAAACTAACAGCTGATTTAAAAAAATGTGCACAAGTTAATGGAACAAACTCACAGCTGATAAAAAAATGTGCACAAGTTAATGGAACAAACTAACAGCTGATAAAAAAATGTGCGCAAGTTAATGGAACAAACTAACAGCTGATTTAAAAAAATGTGCACAAGTTAATGGAACAAACTCACAGCTGAGAAAAAATGTGCACAAGTTAATGGAACAAACTCACAGCTGAGAAAAAATGTGCACAAGTTAATGGAACAAACTCACAGCTGAGAAAAAATGTGCACAAGTTAATGGAACAAACTCACAGCTGAGAAAAAATGTGCACAAGTTAATGGAACAAACTCACAGCTGAGAAAAAATGTGCACAAGTTAATGGAACAAACTCACAGCTGATGAAAAAATATGCACAAATTAATGGAACAAACTCACAGCTGATGAAGAAATGAATGCATGTCAACAGGAAACTGGAATAAAAGACACAAACTCAAGCGCTACTAGACCTATAACAAGAAGAAGAGCCAGAATATGTACATAGAAATGCCAAAATCAAGCTGCTCCTACCAATTTTAAGAATCTTTTCCACGGCACTCATGGACAACTGGTTCATGTGTAAGTGCCAGGAACTTGACCCAGTTCCAGTACACACTGTCACCCCTGAGCTCTTCTGTTTTTCCTTACTGGTCGTGTCTGTTGTTATTTCATAATATGACACCCTGAAAAGGACACATGAATGTCACCTTAGAAACATAAGGGCAAGGTATAAACATCCTATCTAACAGCAGTATTTAACTAGAATGTTCTTGCAATGGAACTCACATGGTAAAATTAATAAAGGCATAGAGCTAAGTCACACAGAGATGAGAATTAGAAACCGAGGTCTGTAACAAAGGAGGGCATGGGGGGAGTTGTACATGACAGCAGAGGATAAGAAAATCTTGCATGAGGACAGTCTATGTTCAATGCGATCTACTGTTTCACTTATTAAAGTCACTCACAAAATTCGAGCACCTCGCCCTGTACATCCTGACTCCCTGCCACATGTATCATGCAGCCCTGCCACTAACCTTGAAGCCTGTCACTAACCTTGAAGCCTGCCACTAGCCTTGAAGCCTCTCACTAACTTGCAGAACAGTCCAAGAAGCCAGCAGTGCCTTCCCCATGATTACCAGTAGCATGACGATGGAGGTGATGGCAGTGACACAAGTGTTTACATGGCTAGAATCACAGGACTATTCCTGCGTGTGTGTGCCGACTAATTCTGTGAGCATGATCGGGAGGCAGGCTGAATATGCAGAGAGTGGATTGAGCCATTGCAAAACTCTCCTGTGTGAGCAGTTACCTTCATATTGGTCCCAGCAAGTGTCGCTGGCAATAAAAGAGCTGATAGACTGGCCGGTTCCGCATTAAATGCAGACATCCAGCCCATGGATCATGCAATATTGTCAATGCCCCTAAAGAGATAGGACGTTCCGAAGATTTGGGAAGCAACGTGTCCACATAACGGCTAATAATACCAGAACTGGGAGTAAAGATTGACACAGCTAAGCATGAGAAGCACACGGATGCACACAAAGTCTTTTCAACCAGCATAGGACTTGTACTATTTACTGTGGGATGCTTATGAATATATTAGAAGGGGGAATCTTAGCACCTATGGACATGTCTGGAGTGCTGTGAAGATAATCCAACTCATAACCTTGAAGCATGTCACTAACAGTGAAACCTGTCACTAGCCTTAAAAGCTGTCACTGACCTAGAAACCTGTCGCTTACCTTTAAACCTGTCATTAACCTTGAAACCTGTCATTAACCTTGAAACCAGTCAACAAGCTTAAAGCCTATGGCTAACCATGAAGACTGTCACTAACCTTGAAGACTGAGACTCTCCAATAAACACCTCATTCAGGGCCAAGCAAGGCAGTCTCCTTGTTGGGAAGTTTAGTTTAGGCAGATGCTTTCGACTGATCTGTTCATCTTCTGCAACACGTTTAGTGAATCTAGGCTCTGGAGAGATCAGCCGTTGATCATAAAGTTCTACTGGATCATCGTTGACATGTCTTCCTGACATTATGACTTCTATGCGCTGTCTCCACTTCCACCTTGTGAAAGAGTAAACAAAAAAAGATGGCATAAAGTGAGTTACATGCACTGTTTGGTCGAGAGTGTGGCTCGGTTCATGTTTAAGAATTAACCTCAGAAGGTCGACTGAGTTTTATCTCATATGACTCTGTCTCTCTCCATAGACTGGCTGGCAGCATGCCAAGAATGTCACATAAAGCATAAACTCCATAGCTCCGATGACAATCCCCAGGAATATCTGTAAAAACTGCATTTGGAAATGAAACTACATAGCCAAGAAATGAAGCCACGACTATCTAAGCATAAGGCAAATAGCCTGACCACTTTGCAGCAGAGGACCCCCCCCCACCCCCCCACAACCCCCTTACACACACATGTAATTACACATAATTTCAAAAAGTATTGTTTGAGTATGCTTTGCTTAGTTTTTAACTGCCCCCAGTCCCTCTGCAAGGCAGCAGTGTGTGTTCTTCTTTGTCTAGCCTCTTTTTGTTGTTGTCCGACATGGGAGACCCTACAAACAGGAGAGCTATTGTCAGCATAGCATCTGCCACATCAAGGTGACGGGAGACACTTCTTTTTATTCTTCAGTACTTCTGAGCCGCTGAAGTTCAACGCTGCAGGTAACAGTCTGCCTCCATTCTTCATCTTTATAACATTCACTGACTGTAAATTCTGACGGAAAGTCCTGGTTGTTAATCCACTTCTGAACTCTGGTCTTGTTCCACAGCTTCAGTTCTGTGTGCACATACATTTTACAGATCTGATATATTTGTATGTAGATTGTTGGATCCTCGCCTCTCAGGCAGATGCACTCGACTTCAAAGGAAACACCCTAATCAGGCATCTTTTACAACATGCTTGTTAGCAGGACAGAGGGTCTGTTTTTTTAACATCCAGAATGGGTGCTTTAGAACCCACACAGGGGTCCCGCTTCCAATTATCTAGGAATTATATCTTTCCATTTGGTGACTCCAAAGGATCAGTAAGTCTGCCTGAACATTATCTTTCCACAATTTTCTAGTTCTGGCTCATCATCTACTCCCAGTTCCCTGTGTGGGTTCCAGGGCCCTGTTATAAGGAAAACAAGAATAGACCCACTGCCTACCCAAAAGCTTGTCGTAAGAGTCGACTAATTGGGAGCTTCCTTCGAAGCCAAAGTGCATCTGCCTGAGAGGCAAGGGACCAACAGTCTGCATACAAATTAGTAAGATCTGTCAAACGGATGCACACGCAACACTCATGCTCTGGAACAGGACTGCAGTATAAAAACTGACGAATAACCAGCACTTTCCGCCAGAGTTTACAGCCAGTGAACGCAAAGAAGAAGAAGAAGATCTATTCCCAGTTAGCTTTTATGTGTATGCAGTGTACATGTCAAAGCTCTTCAGGTTTACAAGGACACAACAGACAGTACAGACTTTCAAGCAAATCAAACTGTGGTAAGCAGTTCTTCTTCATCTTCTGTATGCTCTTCTTCTTCTGTGTTTGCCAATAAAGGGGCAGCTGGCTCATTTGTCATTTGTGCTGTGGTTTACAGCTAGGCTGCGACATATGTGACTGTCAGCACATCACCAGATGTCTGCAAATCCTTCATTAGCAGACTTCTACAACTTGCTTGTTAAAAGGCAGTTGGTCTATTATCCCCCCCCCCCCTAAAAAAATCCCCCCAAGTGGGGCCCAGGAACACACACAAAGGACTACATTGCTCAATGTATAATACACACATGCTAAACCCTCTAACACATACAAATACTTCACATAATAAGCATACTCATATAAAATGTGTACCCACACACAAGTGTCTCCACACACAATGTTCCCACACCTACCCAAAATCTCCTGCCAGAAGTCTTGTTAAAGCATTACCAAACTTGACAGCTGAGTAGTCTCTCTTTGGCAGGCACAAATTGCCCTCTGACCTGTGCAAATTGTATGAGAAAACAACAAGGTGTTCAAGCCTCTCATATACCTGGCACTAGTCCACCTTGCATATAGTTAGTTAGTCGACAGATCATCCTCGCTGCCCAGGATTCAGACTATAAGTGCACCGATGCCCTCTTTAACGTATCATTCAGGGTGCAGCGGTTGAGATTCCAGTTCTGTGTAAGTTTATTATTCTTATTTGGCTTCCTCCAACATTCTCTTATCGGCTTAACCTCTTTTAATTTACTCTTTTGGTAGATGGTACCCAACAGTAAAATATAGATCCCAATTCTTGTTGTTCTGGATCAATCATATTTTACATCTTCTTAGCGTTCACCAGTTATAAACTCAAGGAGAAACTTTTGTTGTTCACCCAATTCTAGACTCTGGTCTCGTTCCAGAAGTGAGTTTTACAGGACACATCCGTTTTACAGATATGGTTCAACTGTAAGCACACTGTTGGTTCCTCGCATCTCAGGTGCTCTGTTGCACTCTGACTTCAAAGGAAACAACCCTAATTAGTTGTCTTTTACAATATGCTTGTTAGGTTGCAGTGGGTCACTTCTTTTTTCTCCCAAAGTGGGATTCAGAACCCTCATGGGGAGAATCAATACTATTAAGGATATTCCTCCAAGCACTATTCAACAACAACTCTCTGTCTGTCCTAACCTACCGCTCCTCGTTTCAGTAATCTTATTTTTTTCGGGAAGCATTTTTGCTCATCATGAGCCCAAAGAACACTACCTCTTTCTTCTTCTGTATTTACCCTTAAAAGGATGGTTGGAACATTTATTTTGTGGTTTACAGCTAAGCTATGATATCTGTATCTTTCGTCTAACACATCCGATTTCAGTAAATCCTTTCTGTCTGAGTGACAGATTGTAATTTTTGTCTGTGAAGTGAATTGTCATTTTTCTGTCTGCGTGGTTGATTGTCATTTATGTCTGCATAGTAGACTATCGTTTCTGTCTGTGTGATAGACTGTCATTTCTGTCAGTGCAATAGATTATTCATGTGTGAATGTTATATTGTCATTATGTCTGTGTGACAGATTGTCATTTTATCTTTGTGACAGACTGCCATTAAATTTGTGTGATAGATTTTCATTCTATCTGTGATATAGATTATCATTATGTCTGTGTGACACATTGTCATTCTATCTGTGTGATAGATTGTCATTATGTATGTGTGATAGATTGTCATTATGTCTGTGTGATAGTCATTATGTCTGTGTGATAGATTGTCATTATGTCTGTGTGATAAACTATCATTCATTCTGTGTGATAAACTGTCATTATGTCTGCGTATTAGATTGTCATTATGTCTGTGTGATAGATTGTCATTATGTCTGTGTGATAGATTTTCATTATGTCTGTGTGATAAACTATCATTCTATCTGTGTGATAAACTGTCATTATGTCTGCGTGGTGGTGAAGTTTTTTAAAGTTCTTTTTACAACATGCTTGTTAAAGTACAGTGAGTCTATTTCTTTTCCCTCAAAACTGGGACTATGGAACCCATAGTGGAAGTCTCTCATTTAAATCTTTTCCCTCAATACTGGGACTATGGAACCCATAGTGGAAGTCTCTCACTTATATAACTTTTCCCTCAAAACTGGGACTATGGAACCCATAGTGGAAGTCTTTCACTTATATAACTTTTCCCTCAAAACTGGGACTATGGAACCCATAGTGGAAGTCTCTCACTTATATAACTTTTCCCTCAAAACTGGGACTATGGAACCCATAGTGGAAGTCTCTCACTTATATAACTTTTCCCTCAAAACTGGGACTATGGAACCCATAGTGGAAGTCTCTCACTTATATAACTTTTCCCTCAAAACTGGGACTATGGAACCCATAGTGGAAGTCTCTCACTTATATAACTTTTCCTTCAAAACTGGGACTATAGAACCCACAGTGGAAGTATCTCACTTATAAAAATTTTCCCTCAAAACTGGGACTATGGAACCCACAGTGGAAGTCTCTCACTTATATAACTTTTCCCTCAAAACTGGAACTATGGAACCCACAGTGGAAGTCTCTCACTTATATAACTTTTCCCTCAAAACTGTAACTATGGAACCCATAGTGGAAGTCTCTCACTTATATAACTTTTCCCTCAAAACTGGGACTATGGAACCCATAGTGGAAGTCTCTCACTTATATAACTTTTCCCTCAAAACTGGGACTATGGAACCCATAGTGGAAGTCTCTCACTTATATAACTTTTCCCTCAAAACTGGGACTATGGAACCCATAGTGGAAGTCTCTCACTTATATAACTTTTCCCTCAAAACTGGAACTATGGAACCCATAGTGGAAGTCTCTCACATATAACTTTTCCCTCAAAACTGGGACTATGGAACCCATAGTGGAAGTCTCTCACTTATATAACTTTTCCCTCAAAACTGGAACTATGGAACCCATAGTGGAAGTCTCTCACTTATATAACTTTTCCCTCAAAACTGGGACTATGGAACCCATAGTAGAAGTCTCTCACTTATATAACTTTTCCCTCAAAACTGGAACTATGGAACCCATAGTGGAAGTCTCTCACTTATATAACTTTTCCCTCAAAACTGGGACTATGGAACCCTTAGTGAAAGTCTCTCACTTATATAACTTTTCCCTCAAAACTGGGACTATGGAACCCACAGTGGAAGTCTCTCACTTATATAACTTTTCCCTCAAAACTGGAACTATGGAACCCATAGTGGAAGTCTCTCACTTATATAACTTTTCCCTCAAAACTGGAACTATGGAACCCATAGTGGAAGTCTCTCACTTATATAACTTTTCCCTCAAAACTGGGACTATGGAACCCATAGTGGAAGTCTCTCACTTATATAACTTTTCCCTCAAAACTGGGACTATGGAACCCATAGTAGATGTCTCTCACTTATATAACTTTTCCCTCAAAACTGGAACTATGGAACCCATAGTGGAAGTCTCTCACTTATATAACTTTTCCCTCAAAACTGGGACTATGGAACCCACAGTGGAAGTCTCTCACTTATATAACTTTTCCCTCAAAACTGGGACTATGGAACCCATAGTGGAAGTCTCTCACTTATATAACTTTTAAAAATGTTTACTCTTTTTAGCTTTTAAACAACTGTTATTTATTCTGGCTGTCCAGGATGACATATCACGTACAAAATACACACATATAATATACTACCTGTCAGGTTCTGTGTTGATTCCGATCAGAGGCTTATTTGTGTTGAGAAATTTGTTTGCTGCGAGCAGAAATGTGCCATCACCTCCTGCTGTAAAAACAACATCAGCCCAATCTAGAACAGCATGGTTCAGACCGAATCGGTGAACAACGTGGGATTCAATGTTGGCTTTCCTGTGGAAAAAAAAAAATTCATAAATGAGATTCAAACTTTTCTTCCTCATTCTTTTATCATCATCATCATCATCATCAATCAGCAGGCTCTTTACAGAATATCACGGCATGCCTAAAAGTCTCTTTTTCTCTAGCCAATTCTCTAGCCCTATGTGCATTCACAGCCAATAGATCTTCAATATCTAGTATTTATCTCCAGGAAGGTCTACCTCTGTCTCTTTTTCCGGAAAGTGTAACCTCCATCACAGTTCTCTGCAGGCCAACATGACATTTAACAAGGCAAAAGTACCTCAGCTTTGGGGACAGCTCCGCTGCTTGTACTCGATTTGCCGTTGTTTTCCTCCCCAGTTCATGTAGATGACATGCCTGGCCTAGGGCCTCACTATCAATTCTTTGAAATTCTGTTCAGCTTTTGTTTTAAGTTTCTAGGAATTTATAATGTTTGTAGTCTCCATTCTTTTATAATAAGTTAATTAATTAATAAATCAGATGCTGACTCCCTAATGAAGGTTGGTTGCAACAGATCTCAGACATCTCGTCATCCATTTAAGGGATGCAATTTGTCGTTATTTAAAGCCCTACTCTGGCTCTGCTATTTAGCCCAACCATAAATATGGTCTAATGGCTGAACGCGGTTTCTGGGACCTCTCCACGGTGATCCTCATCCACATGGTGGCACTTTGTGTCATCGGGTGTTTATAGCTTGTGTGATGTCTTGGTGGGGTAAAAGTAGATTGATAGATAGAGATCTCAGATACTCTCTGTCTCTTGTACTGATTTTACACTGTCTCAGATTGCTGTTCATTCAATTTTTTATAGTTTTCTTCCCAAACATACTACTGTGCACCTCTTGCATGCCTTCAGCTTGTCCATTCATCAGTGTGCTCTAGATGAGTATTACAGTTAATATTTCACCACCATATTTTTACTGACTACTCGGCACATGATCAGCAAATCTGTCAACATCATGCCTGTCAGTCTCCTTCATTGAAACTTAAAACCTACAGCCCCCAATGGCAGAAACAAATTAGAACTGGGGATATATCACACAAAACATGGGCAAATAATCAGATGTACATACATCAGTGCTTTCCTGACCACTTCCAAGGCAGAGTAATGGTTCTTGTGTCGCTCAAGAAGTCCTTTATAATCGGAATCTTTAGAATCAAGCTGCAACAACAAAGTACTATAAATGTATACTAGAAATGTGTATATAAATGATCAGTTATAGCTATTTGATATAACAGCTTTTGGAGAAGATACATGACTACTGAATCAGACTCATAAGTTAGGGTACAGAAAGTTCAGAATATTTTCTGATGATCAATTAACAGTGTCAATGTCAATCATTTGTTTAAGGCCATCACAGTCATCTCCTTCATCTTCTTCTTTGTTTCTTTGTGTTCACCAGCTGTAAACTGTGGCGGAAAGTTCTGGTTGTTCATCCACTTCTGGTCTGCAGTCTTGTTCCAGAACCTGAGTGATGCGTGGGTATCCGTTTCACAGATCTGACTCATCTGTATGCAGACTGCTGGTTCCTTGCCTCTCAGGCAGATGTACTCCCACTTTAAAGAAAGCTCCCAATTAGTCGACTCTTCCCATATGGCAAACAGTCATCTAACAGACATCATTATTTCTGTGATGATAATCTTTACAACTTAAAGAACATTTGTGCTCACCACTATCAGTTTTTTCCATAATATAATCTTTTTTCCCCTGTTTTTTTTCCCCACATCATCATAAAACCCTTCTCAACCGTCTGCTTGACCTCTTTCTTTCTGAACATTCATGTCTTTTCTTGGCATGTAGATTTGGTCATCATAACTATCAACTGTTTTGTCATAAAACGTCCATCAACTCTTTTAAGACAGATGTATCTTTATGCCAAACTGTCTTACCATTTTTTTTTAGTCTCTTTAAACCTTTCTCCTCTTCCCACTTTTCTAGTCACAAATTACATAATTATGGGTGCCAGGTAAAGTCCTGGGAAGTAAAGGTGGTTAGCGTGATGCTGACCGCATCATCTACCAAGTGCATACTGGTCTATAAAATATAGGTTTAGACCTATTTGCCCGATATGCCTGAATGCCTGGAAACGGGTCCTTTACTTTTACTTTATGGTGTGTACCGGCACCTTTTTTTTCCTAGGGGGAAAAAAGCCCTGATCAGACCTATTCACAATAAGACACCTTCACTGGACTATAGGTTACTCTGTAGGTCTGTGGTACCCCAATATAACTGTTAAATGGGGTTCCTGGATTTTAACCTGCTTGATTTGCATCCTCGAGATGTTAATTCTAAAAGACTGCAATCATGTAGGGCGAATATTTATGTGAAATAATCAGAGGAAGTTGTTATAAAGCTTACATATTCCCTGAACTCGTTCTCAGACATATGTTCACATAGTTTCTTCTCGTACTCATATCTGGTCATCTTTGTGAGGATCACTGCACGCCTAGGCTGGAAGAGCGGCTCAGCGTACTGTTCCACATCTTGTACGTCCTTGGAAGGAGCAACACCCAACTGGTAATTGTATTTGGCAAATGATTTGTACCTGACAGGCACAATACAGCAGCGGTTCACGTGTTGTGGTCCTGGTCGCTGTATCGGGGACAGTTGAGGCAGCGGTGATGAGAAATGGCAAACATTTCGCGGGTGATGATGATGAATCAATTTGTTGACAACTGCAGTAATACGCATTTCGGCCACATACAATTTTGCCACAAAAGAAAACGATTTGGGCGCAGAAATAGAATCATTCAAGGATCCTGAAATAAAGATCAACCAAGTTATAATCAGAGAAAATCACAAATTTTATCAGAGGGTGTTTCTCTTTCCGTTAACTGTTTGATGTGGATTCACACAGCAGCCATTTTTGTTTACGATTGAAAAGTCGGGTCAGTGTTGCCCCTTTTCTTTAACTAAAAAACATCTAAAACAGAGTCAAATAATATATATATGTATACATCTAAATTTGCGTGGAAAACATCTAGAAAAAACATCCAGATGTAAAGAGTCACAAATTACATAGCAATTCAAATGACTTACCCTATAGAATCATGTCCTCATCTTTACTGAAGTCTGCCTTACAAGATCCACAGGATAAACTTAGCTTTGATGATAAAATTAAAGCTTCAGATCCAAAATGACTCTGGTATGCTTTAGCTGTTCCGATTTCTTGTAATACCCAATCAGGGAGCTGTTAAATGGAACAGCCTATTCCTACTCTTATCAGGCCGAAATTTTTTTTAAAGATATCATTTGAGAGTTCAAATTTCATCCTGTTTCTCAGATTAGATTTGATAAATTCACTCCAAATGGAAAAAGTCTAGAAAAACATCTACCATCTAAACATCAAAAACGCCATCTAAACGCAAGGGAAAAACATCTAAATCTGAATGTAAAACATCTCGAGTGGTTCTCGGAGATGTGATTTTACAACGCAGTTCTAAAAATTGCGAGGGCTCAAAGACACCTTATCACAAACATCAGAAAGACGAAAGTCAACATTTTGTGGCTATGTTTTGACAAGAAGGAAACTGGAACATGTTGCGACCACTGGAAAGATCTGTGGGGAAAAAAGGTCTGAGAAAGACAGCGAAAGAGGATTCTTGACAGCCTCAAGTCAAGGCATGGAGGGGCGTCAACGCACTGATAAATTGCAGACTGTCGAGAGGCATAATCGCCCATGCCAGTCGGCTAGGCACTTGATGATGATGATGATGTGGTTTGTGGGGTTTGCACCTGTGTGATTCTCATTCTCGAGATGTTAGTGCTGCAGACTGGAATCACGGAAGAACATCGCTCAAGCCAACACTGACAGCCAGTCCACCATCCCCGGCCGACGTGCAGAGGTCAACTCAGAACGGCCCTGACTTTGCATGTGAGAAGTGTTCAATAACAGGGCTGCCGAAGTTGCGCAACATTTGGTACTGTTTGACCATTACCGAGCAAAATTGTACTTTTGGTACCAGAGAATTTTAAAGAATCACTCTCCTTTGAAGACTTCAACAATAAATGCATTGATAAGATCAATATATTGCTCCATGACATTAAATTCAGCAACTAGAAGCCACCACAACTCTGTCTGATATACTGAGCGAAAATAAACAGAACTGCGATGATGTCATGGATACATAATCTCTCTCTCTCACTCTCTATCTCTCCACACACACACACACACACATATATATATATATATAGTATATATATGTGTATATATATATATATATATATATATATATATATATATATATATAATATATATATACTTTTTGATGTGCTTTGCTACTTTAAAAAAATTAACTGGTACTTCTGCTTATCTCTACATCTAAAGGAATGCCTCGCAGCGTCAGGGGAGGAAGCAGTCGCTGAAACTGGCCCTTCTTTTCGCTTTGTATAGACTTCTTTTCCTGGTGCAACTATTTCTCCATTAGTGCTGTTTGTGATTCCATGCTCTGTTATTTGCCGATTTTTTTTTACATGGCTAAACCATTTGATCCTTTGTCTGTCGATATAGTTCAATAGTGATTTTGTGCCGACTCTCCTCCTGATATCATCGATAATAGATCGATCTTCCCTTGTTACATATCGCATAGTATATAAACATTTCGTTTATGTCGTGTCTATTTTTTCATCTGTATTCTTGAGACATTGTCCATGTGTGACATTTAAAACATAATGTTGGTAAGAATATTGCGTTAAACACAGCATTCCTTTAGTTTGGTGTTCATATTCACATGCTTGCATTTCAATACTGGCACAATTTTTCCTATGACTTGATCGGCTTTATGGCATCTTTACTGCATTTATTTATTCATTCTTCTGTTTCCCGAAAAAAATCTTTCTCGTTTTGTGCACTTCTTCGCCTGCTTTAAACGGCTGTTTATCAATTTTGATGTTGTGGTACTTTTCCTTAAATAATTTCGGTAGCCCTGAACTTGTCAACAAAGCAGTGATCCGGAAGTCGCTGTGACGTCAGCTCAGGGTCAGGGCGGGTAGCTTGTTATTCCTCATTTGCCGCAGAGCCATTGTCAAAGGTCCCATTAGCTGCTTGAACTGTTCAAGACTTTCCGATGTTACATTGAAGTCTTGAATGTCAGCATTAGGTAAGTTTATGTCGTTGCTGTCATTGGTAATCTCTAACAGAACT